ATGGTAGTCATTGTATTGTTTGGTATTTTGATTTAAACTTTTATTTTGAATATCGCGATTGATTTCTAAGTAGTTTATGAAAATTATTTATTTATATAGTATTATCAATAAATTTGATTGTTTCAACTCTCTGATGGGCGAAATTTCTAATTGATGTCGATTCATGGTTCTTCGCATTTTGGGTGGATCTAGGTTGGAAAGAATTATACTAGAAATCATTCTAGGATTCAGTTGGTTGGACAAGGTAATAAATTTCTTGGAGATTTACACGTTCTTGTTTCTAACATCCAAACTTTTGCAGCAATTGGAGAATAATATTTGTCACAAGACTGACTAGATTCCTATTGCTTAAGATTGTGAAAGTTCTAAAACAATACGTCATTGAAGTCTCTTGCGAATCGGTTTTATACACCGAACAAAACGTCAGATAATATTATGAAGAAGTCTTACGTTACTATTGTACTTCAGGGGATTTGCATATAAATTAAGAACCAAACTCCTACATTTGATAGTCTTTTAATAGAGCCATTTAGTCGAATTCTTCAAGTCGAATAGGTAGTGTTTCAATAAATACCATTACAGTTTTTTGTCACGAGGCAATTTGCTTTACTCCCAACAGTTGACATCTTTGAATTTTATTTGCTGATTTTGACATAGTTGAGAACCGTTGTGGAACATCGATTATTTCATACTCCTAAGCTTCAAAATAGCCTCTCGTTCAGTAATTGTATGACACCCTGTTGTTCGAATTTATCCAAAAATATGCAATCTGTGGCAACCGAGGGTTTTGTTCGTAATGTTTGTTCTTAGCTTAATTATTAGTGAGAAATTCCCAGGCTAGCTTGGTATAAATACAAATTAATTCACTTAGTTAAACTATATACTAGTTAAGAGTTATGGTAGATGAATAGTGAAGAATTTTTACTCTCATCGTCGCCCATTGTTCGCATTCATGGAAAAATACGGATAAAACTCCAATTAGCTCCGGTAAAATCCGAACGATCATGAGATATATATGCAAGATAGCTTAAGTAAAGTTGTCGGAATTTGACCAGACATGACCAAGTTATACCGTGATATGATCATTAATCAATATAAATATATGACCAGATTCCCTGAATTCACAATTATTTAGAAATGTATTTGATATAATTTTCTTTCCATAAGTATGATTTAATAAATATTTTTTCCTATTAATTTGCGAAGTGCCTCTAATTTTGTGTGTAAAATTCCCGAAAATTTAAATACCCATTAGGTGAGAGTCGCGCCCAATATGCAGGATACGACATAAAATATTTCACCAATTATGTAAAAATTAAAAAAAAATCGTATTCCACAAATTCCACTCTTTTTGGTAAAATTGACAAATACGACTATACCTTCAATATTTGGGGATAACATGTCAACCAAACATCGTCTGGAAATTTAGAAGTGTGAAATAATTACGGTTCTAAAATGGATCTTAACTATATAGAAACTAAAAGAAACAAGAAAATCCCACGTTGGGGTGTCTGACTTTACGGATTGGAGTCTGTACTAATTATTGTGTTGTGACTGATCAATGGAGAACTTTTATTTTTTTATTTATGACTTTTCTTCTTAAAAAACAAAGTAAACGAATTCGAGAGAATTAATGGAGAATCTCCTTTTATGTTAGACAACTAAGAATACAGGATTTGGTTTCAATTGCAGAATGATCTCCACCAAATTATTCATCTACCCCAGTGGGCACAACCCTCTCACTGATGATTTATATCCCTCCCTTCAAATAAGTCTTTCAGTCTAATTTTTTTACCATAAAATATGCTACAAAGAAGGTATAGGATACCACTAATGATCGAGGATACCACTAATGATCGACAATGCATGACTCGATTTGTAAGTTTGTGAAATTTGAACTCAACTTGAATAATTCCTATGATGTATAAAATAAGAAATTAAATATTTTGTTAATTTTAAGCCTAGAAACTAATCGTGACGATGAACAAAAATAAATGATGCTTGACTGTATTACTTTCTTGTTTTCCTTTTGATTCGATTTCTCAGAGAAAAAGAATTTAACTATCTTTGTGGTTTGCAAACACGTCCTCCTTTCTAGTGAGTTTCTATTATTGTTTGGACGAGGGCTACTCTGACAACTCATTAAGCATCATACATCTTGGGATTGAAATAACAAAAATATTTAGGTACATGTACATATCCCGGTGGTCTCACCGGAGCATCTGTCCCAACGTCAGCCTCCATGTGTTCAAATTTGTACATGGAAGTAATACCGAATAATAGAAAGTGATGACAACATCGATGGTTCATGCATAAACAATAAATGATCACAATTTTGTTGTAACTTAATAAATATTTACAACAAAAAAGATGACGTACTAAATATTTTCCCTATGAAATCCGCTTATATTATTTTTTTGGTTTTGTTTTAAAATTATTTTTTTGCAATTATTATTTTGGCTTATTATTATTTTTGCAACAATTCAAAAATTATCATATGATCAAACGAACGGCATTCATCAAAACTATAAATAACTTCTCATCTATGTCATATTTGTATAAGGATTGCGATCATCTCTCTTTCAAAAACCTACGTACAACTTGGTAAAAATTACTATAAATACATCAGCAATACTGCAAGTATTATCTTTTTTTAAAAATTTTCGGCCATTCCATTTGTCTAACCAAGAACATAATGCTAAACTATTTTCGTTTACTATTAACTATATTACTTGTCCAATCATTCTCAAATTGTATGCCTGTGGATGGGTTGGTAGTTTTGAGAGGTAACACTTTTGAGGTGGACGAGAAGTTCGAAATTTCAGGAGTATTATCTATTGTGGATTTTTCTGGAAACCAGTTCACACTTGAAAATATTCTAGTTTTTGAAGAGGGAACTTTTTTCTTTAGTACCACATTACCTCCCCAGAGTGACACATGCTCAATGAAATTCGGCCTCATTGGGAACCTCGGAAAAGTCCAGATAGATGCTGACACAATAGGTCTGGCAATTAGTGATTTTGAAGTTCTGACAATTTACAACTATGGGCCAATGATATTTTCCAATTTCCAAAGCAGCGAACATGTACCCGTGATAACGAAACTTCAAAATCATGCCAGTTTTGTTTGGGAACTGGGTCCCCTTCGGATCTTGGAATTTGAAAACTTCGAACTGTTTTGTCTTGGAAGTGGTGCTGCTGTCGATATCGAATATTCCAAGGGCTTGAAATGTTTACAACTACTGATGGGTTCTACTTTGGCTATTCAAGGTGACCTAAGGGAAGTTTCCCTTTCTCCACTTGGCGGATCAACACTTCTCGTTAAAGCAAGACTGCTGCATACCCTCGTCGTGTCATATTTTGGTGGGGATAATATTGTAATTTTTCAAGGATGGAACGCTTCGTCTATTGACTACACTTATGATAAATTGTATTTAAAAATCAACGTCGATTCCGACTTATACGAACTTGAAATAGGGTTTAATTATGATCCTGGATTGTTTAAGGTTGTTACGCGGGATGACGATATCATCATAAGTTATCCTGTAATCCCGACGCTGGCATTTCATCACATATGTCAATGTGTCTCTCCAGAAACCAACGTACCGGGTACATTGCCCACAATTTCAATCCAGACAACAGGATATCTGACAAGAACATTGACTATTACTACTAGTGACTATCGTTGGACGACAATCGGTGAGCTGGATCCTGAACCAACGACGTCGGCACCAGAGTCCACTAACTCAGAATCAGATTCAACCGCTTCTGAGCCAGAGTCAACTGCTACTGAACCAGAATCCACTGCATCAGAATCGGCAATAGATTGAACTACTTCTGAATCAGAGTCCACCATGTCAGAAACAGATTCAACTATATCAGAACCTGAGTCAATTACTTCAGAGCTGGACTCAACTGCACCGAATCCGGAATCAACTTCTGCTGAAGAAAATGAATCAACTAGTTCACAGCCAGAACTGATAGCTTCGGAAACTTACATTACCTCACTCCACGAATCGACTACTTCAGAGCTTGAACCATCTACTTCGGGAGCACCACCAACTAGCGCGGATCCGGTTTCTCCTTCAGAAACTCAACAGACTTCACCTACAACAACTCAGTCATCGATCCAATCAGATCCTTCGGAACCGACCAACTCAAATACAGCTCCAGAGACAAGAGCAAGTGCGTCTTCGGAGAGATCATATTTTACTGATCCATTATCAACAAGTTTACTGTCATTGCTTACTAGTAAAACAACAACTTCTGGGGGTTCAGATGATACCACCACCAAGGACCCAGACCCAGTTAAATCTGACTCACCATCTGGAGATATCAAAACAATGATTGTAACTCTTTCATCTGAAATATCAGTCCCTCCAAGTGCTACCGTCTTGCCCATTGAAGGTTCGGGTTCCAAGGTTGTTGGTACAGGATTGTTGCTGTCGGGTATGGTAGTCATTGTATTGTTTGGTATTTTGATTTAAACTTTTATTTTGAATATCGCGATTGATTTCTAAGTAGTTTATGAAAATTATTTATTTATATAGTATTATCTCTACAATAAACTTGATTGTTTCAACTATCTGATGGGCGAAATTTGTTATTGATGTCGATTCATTGTGCATGATTCTCGGCGCGTTTGAGTGAATCTGGGTTGGAAAGAATTATACTAAACGTTAATCCAGGATTCAGTTGGTTGTACAACGTGATAAATTTCTAGCAGATTAGACGTATTTTTTAACAAACAAAATTTTGCAGCATTTTGAGAATAATATTTCACCTAGAAAACAACAGTTAGTATTTTTAACAGAAATTGTTGAATTGAAATTTCCCTCATGATTTGTAAACTGATTACCCGTTTTGTATTTTCAAATAGTTTTCTTATATATACTTTATATAGAAATCGCTTATAACTCCCGAAGTGCTCCGAAGTAAAAAGGAGTATTAATTATATGGCTGCATAAATAAAGCCAAACTGATTTTTTTTGCAGGTCGCGCCAAGATCTCCAAACCTCATCGAAAATTTTACAAAATTGGATCTATGAGTCAAAAGATCAATATAGGAGATCCCAACCATCATTACCAACCGATTCCCACAACATGACACCCCTAACAGAAGAACAAATCACATCCCTCAAACAATCCAAGACAATTGGTATCATAGGATTAGGAGACATGGGATATTTATATGCCTCTCGATTCAGTTCAGCCGGTTGGACCGTCGTTGGATGTGATCGAGAAGAAACCTACCTTCAAACCCAACAAAAATTCCAAAATGAAAAATTCCAAGTCTTAAAAAATGGTCACCTAGTCTCCCGTATTTCCGATTACATAATCTACAGTATTGAAGCTGCCAATATTGATAAGATTGTTTCAATCTATGGACCCTCCACCAAATTTGGATCAATCGTAGGCGGACAAACTTCTTGTAAAGCGCCTGAAATTGCTGCATTTGAGAAATATTTACCTGAAGATACACAAATAATCCCAGTTCATTCTTTACATGGACCTAAAGTGGACCCTACGGGACAACCATTGGTACTCATCAAACATCGGGCCACGGATGAGGCATTCCAATTTGTCGAGAGTTTGATGTCATGTTTGAATTCAAAACATGTTTATTTAAGTGCCAAAGAACATGATCGAATAACGGCAGACACACAAGCTGTTACTCATGCGGCATTTTTATCAATGGGAGTAGCGTGGAAATCGATGCATCAATATCCTTGGGAAACTCCGAAATGGATCGGAGGGATTGAGAATGCAAAGATTAATATCTCGTTGAGAATTTATTCAAATAAATGGCATGTATATGCCGGATTGGCAATTACTAATCCGTCCGCCCATGATCAGGTGTTACAATATTCGAAATCGACAACTGAATTGTTTACATTAATGATTCAAGGGAAGAAACAAGAATTGAGTGAGAGATTGATGAAGGCAAAGGAGTTTGTGTTTAAGGAAGTGCAACATAATCATCATGATTTGTTATTGGATGATAATATTTTACAGAAATTTTCATTGAGTAAAGTTCCACCCGAAGGAAAACAACCAAATTCTCATTTATCATTATTGGCAATTGTTGATAGTTGGTACAATTTAGGGATTGTACCTTATGATCATATAATTTGTTCAACTCCTTTGTTTAGAATTTTTTTAGGGGTTACTGAATATATCTTTTGTACTCCTGGATTATTAGAAGATGCTATAAATGTTGCAATTGAAGATCCAAGTTTTAGACAAGATGATTTACATTTTACAATTGCTGCACAAACTTGGTCAAGTATTATAAGTTTTGGGAATTTTGAATTATATAAACGAGAATTTATTGAAACTCAAAATTTCTTTCAACCAATGTTTCAAGAAGCTAATTTAATTGGTAATGAAATGATTAAGACTATTTTAGAAAGAGTTAAAGAGAGGGAGCTGTCTGTATAATGTTTTCTTATAAATTAATGATTTATAGCTATATATATAAACATGTAAAATATACAATACACCCCTCTTGGGGGGAACTTTCTTACAACTGTTCATCTTTAATTACATCCATTAACCAATCCAACCCTTCATTCAATCCTTCTCCTTTAATAGCACTCGAAGCAACAATACTCCAACTTCTATCCTTCAAATCCGTCAAATTAAGTGCCTGAGACACCTCCGCAGCAGTCATAGCATCCGGTTGATCCTGTTTATTAGCAAACACCAACAACGCACTATCCTGTAATTCCTCTTCTTTCAACATCGTATGTAATTCTTTACAAGCAGTATCAATACGATCTTTATCAGTTGAATCAACCACGAATATAATTGCTGATGTATTTGAATAATAACATCTCCAATATGGTCGGATTGAAGTTTGTCCACCTAAATCCCAGATATTTAATGTTATGTTTTTATATTTTAATGTTTCTACATTGAATCCAATTGTTGGTTTTGTGGTTACGACTTCTCCCATTTGTAATCGATATAATATGGTGGTTTTACCGGCACCGTCTAATCCTAAGATAAGTATTCTTACTTCTTTTTGTATCCCCCATAGTTTGTTAAAGATGTTTGTAAAACTAAATGCTTGTCCCATTGTATATTGGCTATGACTTTATATGCTATTGAATGGATCAAAATGAATTTGATTTGTAATAAATTGATGGATTTCTAATTTACAAGGTGTTTATGGGTATAAGATACAATGTTGCGTAGTTCTATAAAGAATGAAATGAACTTTAATATGAGATCGTCAATCCTCTCCCAGTTCTCTAATATGAATGGGGTTTTGAAAGGAGGGTAAGTATAAGATTAAATAGATTAACAGCCGTTGACACTCACTGTATTGGTAAAAGGTGGTTTTGGTTTTTTAGTTGTTCGGAAATTCTCGCTTCGTGTTAAAAAAAAAAAAATTAATTTCTGTTGCCGCTTTGTTGAGAGAGAGAGACAGAGACTAAAAGAGAGAGAGAGGGATTGATGGAGAGGCAGATTAATGGTATTTGACAATTGAATTTATCAAAGCAAATCACACAACAATGACCAATTGCTCAATACCCAGTACCTATTGTATTTATCTTCTAAATAAGACGATATGGTTGGGTATTAATGGCTCGTGACCCCTCTACTGAATGTAACTCTTTTTGCAACTTTTAATTCCGGTAGTAGTTAGTTCCGGTAAAAATCATGTGATCATCTTTTTTCTGTTGCCTCACATTTCTTTAACTATTGCTCATTCCTCTCACAATCATACACAATAAAGGGTTGAAATATATGACCACCAGAATTAAACTTTTCAATAAGTGACCCTTTTACTTTACTTCAATTGTTATTTATACAAGTACAGATATATATTCAAATCATGCCAATGTCACCAAGAGGAATATTAAAAAACAAATTAGACCCAACCTTAAGTCCCCCACCGTCTGCATCAACAATTGGATTAGAACCTTTGGATCGTCAAGAAGTAATTAGAAATACTAGATTAAATGCACAATTAACAGCACCTGATCTATCTTCGTCTCGAGGTGAACAAATCAGGGCTAAGATATCAGAACAAAAACGTAAACTACTGATAGAAGGAGATAGACCAGAGCAACAACAAGAAGATGAGGAACATTTAAAATGGGATGAAATTAATCTATATAAAACCGAACAAGAAAAAGCAGCCACCATGAAAATCGATGAGCCTAAAACTCCCTATGAAGGTGGATTTAATCCAGAAGGTGAATACTATCAAATGGATGATGATGAGGAGCAAGCAGAGGCGGCAGCGGAGGATGGAATGGATGATATACCTGCTTTTGAACTTGGTGAAAGTGAATTTGAAAGTTTGAAGAGACACCAACCATTGACTTCTCTTCATGGTGGTGAAGTTATTAGAGAAGATGTGCAGCCGGAAGACGAGGAAGAAGAAGTGGAGGAAGTACCATTGACTGCGGAGGAAAGACATAGAAGGTTTGAAGAAAAGAGAAAGGCTCATTATCATTTAAAAGGAATGGTATTAAAACAGAAAATACTGGTCTCTGATGATGAAGATGAAGATGAACAAGAAGTTGGCCAAACACCCATCCAGTAAATAGAGATTATCTTTTATATAGTTTTATCTACAATTTGTTAAATTATTCACCTGTTTTATTTCTCTTCTATATACTTTACAAAACGATTTTATATCATTTTACATTTAAACAGTAAAATATTTCAAGAAAGACTTATCTAATGAACCAGCAGCAACCAATTCACCAGCAACTTCAGTAATAATAGCTTTAGCAGAAGCAGCATCGGCATCTTTAAGTTTTCCGGCAACTTCACCCAATTTAACATCATCGAATTTTTCAATGATTAAATCAAGATCAGCGTCAATAGCAGTAGCATTACCGGCTTCACCAAAGTAATCATTATCTTTAGCAGCACCTCTAATGGCTCTCTTATTCTTCTTCTTAGCGGCCTTGGCAGCTTCCTTAGCCTTCTTGGTATTGGTCTTTGCAGCCGCGGCTTCTTCAGAGGCTTTTTTAGCAGCAGCTTCTTCAGCAGCCTTCTTGGCAGCGGCTTCTTCGGCGGCTTTTCTAGAATCGGCTTCTTTTTCCCATTTCTTAGCAGCTTTAGCCTTTTTAGCTTGTTCTTTGAATAATTTAATTCTTGGATCTTCAGAGTGAGCTCTTTCAACTAAATCTATTAATCTCTTGTTATCTTCTTGCTTTAATTTCTTTCTGTTAGAAATGTTCTTACGTTCAATATAACGTTTATGATCTCTATTAGCAGTATCATCTGGAACATCTTCATCTTTGAATTCAAAAGTTTTCCAAGAATCAAATTTCCCAAAAAAACTATAAAATTCATCAACTTCTTCCTTGGTACTTTCCATATTACCTAATTGAGGAACAGGTTGTTTCGTGGAGAATCTAGCTTCACTTTCAAATACTGGACCCCAAGCTTCAAAGAAATCATATTTAGTCTTTGGTGAAGGAGGTTTTGGATCATGCTCAACATCAATAGAATCATATTGTCTTCTCTTGGTAGGATCCAACATGATTTCAAATGCCTTTTGAATAATCTTGAAAAATCCATCTTGATCCAATCCACCAGAAGCAGATTTCTTATCTGGATGATGTTTAAGAACTTGTTTTCTATGTGCTCTTCTAATTTGATCTTCAGTGGCTTTTGATCTTAAATGAGAAATACCCAATACCGCATATAAGTCAGCAGTTTTCCATTCTCTTGGATCATGAGCTAATAATTCTTCACTTTGTTCTTCATCTCCTAAATCTTCATCTTGATTTTCTTCGATTTGTTTAACATTCTTTTCAGCTTCTAATTTTTCAAATTCAGACCAAGTATGTCCACGTAAGGTTCTAGTGGCATGGGCTAAGAAATAACGACCAACTGGTTCAATTGGACGACGAAGTGGGGTGGAGTATTTAGAAACGGCTTTGAAGGTTTCGGTAGAACCTTCTAAGGATGGTAATACAATAGACATGGTTTAGTTGGAGTTATCTATAGGTAAATTGATGATCAAAAGAACCTGAAAAAAAAAATTCAGAAGAAAAAATTTTGGTGATGCGATATACTCACATTTAGTTAGTGATGAAATTTACACATAAACCGTGACAGGAATTACGCGCATCAATATAGATTTCTATAAACTACTTATCTAATCTTCTTTAATAGCAGACATGTCTAATACTTCAATTGATCCTTCACCTTTGCCCACTTTCCCACCTTCACCCTCCATAATATTCACCAAGACTCTATAATTAATCGGATCAATAATCCCAACAATCTCATATTGTTTCCCATTATTCTTATTATCTATATCTTGAACATGATCAATATTTGGTTTTATATCATTTTCAAAAACTTTCAAATATGCCTTTTTGGTTAAGATTATCCTAATCTTCATTTGTGCTCTTGCTATGGGGATAATTTGTTTTTCAACCAATTGTTTTATGGCATCCAATGCTTGAATCTTGGTGTTTTTAGTAGGATTTAAATGAAATTTTAATTCATTTAAAGCTTTTTCAATCATACTTGGAGGATATCTCTTTTTAGACCTGGGATTTATACATTTTGTACTTATGATATTTAAAAATTCATTTTGTTTTTGTTGAAGATTAACATTTCGTTCTTTTTCATTTAATTGAATTTCACCTTTATTTAAAATTTCCAATATGATTTCATCTTGGTTGGTAGTACCGAAAGATTTTTGTAAATCGTCATTATTGGCTACTTGCCCTTTGGAAACATTTATGAAAACTTGGGGGATTTGTAATACTTCATCTAAATCTTTTTCAACTTTCGATCTCCAATCTTGGACTTTGTTTTGATAGCAGGCAATTTCGAATCTCTTCTTGCCCGTTTTCATACGGACTAAGGAGACATTGGTTAGTTTGATTTGACTATTCGGTTGATTAATAACTGCCATTGTTATGGAACTTTTCTATTGTGGGTTTGATTTATTGATGAATAAAGAGCATGTAGTTTGGGGATGAGAGGATCCATACAAACTTTTGTGTGAAGAAATTGGGAGAAAAAAATTCTAAACTATGTGGCACGTGACTTCAACTTCCCTTCCAAAGGAATCGGGCTTTACAATCCAATCCCAAGGCATGCCAACGGTCTCGATAGAGGATCTAAGTCGCTTTCTGATATAAAATGTATTAAATACTAAATGATAAAATGGTGAAAAAGAATTGTAAGATATTATATATATATGAACAGTATTTTATTTATTTTGAAATTTCCTTCTGATCTATCCACAGACAAACATGCTTGTTCATTCACAGTAGTAGTATCCATATCGATTTAAAAATGTCTCCTTCTCTTTCAATTTATCCTATTTCAATATGCAAATATTGCAATCTCTCCGAATATGTATACATATCTCTAAATGCTTCAAGTATGTAATGTTAATGTTATAATCATCAAACAAAATTTCATGCTAACCAATTATTATAACCGGCCCCATAACTTATTCGTCATCTTCTTCTTCTCCAGCACCTTCCAAGAATTTAACTTTAACATCTTTCCATAATTTACCTTTATTATGGTTTTCATACCAAGTTGTCACGGCTTTATCAAAAAAACCTTGGAAAATAAATGCACCGGTGAAAATGGTGGCTACGTAGATTGAGTTTCTTTGGAATAACTTGTTGATGAATGACTAGAAGGGGTGTAGGTTAGTATATAGGACTTCGGGGTGGGTTGTTGACCGTGGATAGGATGTAGGGGTTCGGATCATGGACCATTCTTCAACGCGTATTTCGAATTCGGTTTTCAATTATTCCATTTTCGAATCAAATATACAGGAGTTCCCAATGCCATCGGTCATGAGTATAGCAATGTTTGGATACATACCATTTTGCTTAGATGTATTTATACCTTCAAGCTATTAGTTGGTTTTGTATGGGATTTTTTTTTTCAATTGATTTTTTTAGTGTGAGTGCGAGAGTCAAAGGAACTTCATAATAATTTTTCAATCAAATTTTATTGGTTCTATTCATGATTACGTAATCACCCTAACAAAACTTACGTAATATAAACATTTTTGATTTTATATAAATATCTAAAACCTATTAATTGTTTCGGCCAAGTAGCTATTCCTAGATGTTATACTTCGGTTATAGCTTCTTTGCCAGTAATGTCTTATTTAATGTTATTTCCTGTTTATTGTTCACGTGGATATTTCCGTATCTCCGTTCAATTCCCTCAGTCAATAACGCCTCGATGGATTTCCCGAGAGTATAAATATAGTTAAATTTCGCACATCTTTTAATTATCACTTTCTTTTAGAAGGAAAGCATTTCTCAGTTTCCCTATTTAGATAAATGTCTCTATATATTATATTAGTTGTTCCCTAGCGGTCTCTAGTGACCCTTTATGATCTATAGCATTAATTAATATAGAAAGAGAACAATGAAAGTGGGAGAATTGTCGGGTTTCGCATTACCGATCTACAGTCATTGTTGAAAAGTGGTAATTTGCGAGATTCGAAATATACAAATTGGGTACTTTGCCTCACATTTGAAAGTTGAGAAGGAACTTAGATTCTAATACAATTTAGTATACAAAACCCAAATCCGGAAATTTTCCTCGAAGTTTTATTTAAACATACCACCCAACTCCAAGTGTCCACTCTAAACATGCCCACTGAACATGTCGAAGTGATCACTATTGTCCAGGTTATTGAAAGAATTTGAAGCGGATGCTAAACTTGATAAAATCATGCTGTTGGTTTAAGATTGCTTATGAAAAAGACCCTCATCCATCGGTTGCTGCAGATGCACGACTCAAGACTATCTGCCTGAATCCGTATATTAAATCATTTGAAGCTAATGAGAATGATGGCGAAGCTGCTGCTCCTCCTCCAGGTGATGATAAATCAACTAGATCTAACGGATCTGTTCGTGACAGAGAAGTTTTGGAAGAAATTAGAGAAAGCTTCGAGAAATATCAGACGGAAGATTCTGACAAGTTTGAATCTTTAGATTTCGTTGAAGCTGTCGGTGTTGAAACTGAGAGGCTCATAGTATCAACGTATCTTATATGACCTTCAAAGGAAGAATATGGCTTTACGTGATGAATACACTCTTGCAACCAGAGATGTAATGTAAGAATAAGAGAAGGCAAAGCATATCATTCCTGATCATGTTATCAAACCTACCCTTATTGCAGGCTTTGCTAAGGTAAATTATGAACCATTGAACCAGTTAGCTAGTTCTTCTATTGATGCTGATAAGTTGAACAAGTATCTTCCAATAAAGTACCAACAGTTATTCAACTTGGTTAAGTTCCACTTGCCACCTACTGTTAATGAACCATTAGAGAGGATTGGGGAAGATTAAACGAGTGTGAAGATTTGAAAATTACCATAATGAAGATTCATTACTAATGAGCATCATTGTGATATTCAAATCTTCACAGTCGTATAAACTTCGTCAATTGCTTGAAACAGTTGACTTTCTGAAATGCTAATTCTATCTAAAATCACTCTAACTTCAGACTTAACAGTTGAAAGGATGATGGTTTTGTATCACAGATAGTGTTAGTGATGAGAGAGGAGTGAGTCCAATACTGCTGAATATGATGGTTTACCAGTATTATAGTCAACGTTTTTATAGTCTTCTCTGTTTCCTCAATGGTTTACCAGGTTTATAGTCAACCTTTGATAAAAACATAGTCAAAGGTTGACTATAAACCTGGTAAACCGGGAACAGAGAAGAAACAATTAGTCAGTTGGTTGGTTGGGTTTGATAAATTATTATAGAGTATCAATACCTGCTTTTCTGGAATTAACTGCTCCGTTGTATTCATTAGTTAACTTGTTTGAAAATAAAGAATAGTTGGGATTGTCTGACCAAAATTTTTACAAACGTTTAAATTTCTTACTAGAAGTTTAACTACTGCTCCTATTGTTGCGTTCCATTTGATACTATTCGGATGGTTACGATTCATACAGATGCTTCGAATGATAGTGGTATTTTTGCTGATAGCAAAGGTGTAAGTAGGATTGTGCCGTGTCATCTGGGGAAGTTTCAAGGTAGTACATTTAATTACTCGATCTTTCAGAAGGAATTATTTGCAATCCACAATACACTCCAAGCTAATTATCCTTTGACCAGTTATACTGATGTTATCTGCATTTTCTGTGATAACAAAGCATTGGTGGATGCATGTGTAATATCTGATACCTTAACTAGATGTCGTAATCCAGAAACAGTCCAAGCTTCTAGTTATGCTGTCAAAGAAGCTTTGATGGAGTTTGGTTCACATTTTATGGCGGACGTTGGTCTGGTATATTCCAAGCAGTGCTGAATATAAAAGCATAAGGTTGAGAGATATTGCAGAATATTCGAGAACGTTGAAGGTACGAAGTGGGTATACGTACGCTAATCTTAGCAGGATGCAGTTTTTGAAGAAAGCGTTATTAACCCAAACTCGTTTGCTCCCTTAAAGAACTGCATTCTAGTAAGATTAGAATACGTATAACCACTTGGTACTTCCAATGTTCTGCAATATCTTTCAACAAGGTTGGGTTAACTGATGGTAAGTTGGTCAAGTTAGAAATGAATGGTTATTTCACTAGGCCAGTCATTTCTAACGATTCTGGTATTGGTGAGATTTTGATCGTGATTCATAATGATAGAGGACATATGAAATACGTAGATGATATGTAATTGTATGCGGAAATACATTGCATGCATACAATTATGTATCATCTATGTATGAATTTCATGCCTGGTTTGATTACGAAGTTAATGAGGTTTATCAACTCTTGTGAAACTTGCCAAAAGTATGTTAGTAAGATGCTAAAGTTTGCTCCCTTATATTTGCATGTTCCAACTGGTATATGTGAAAGAATTGCTGTGGATACAATGTTCATAGCAATATCTATCTAGCAGTTGCTAGAGATGAATTCTCTGGATGGGTCGAAGCTAGAGCTATGGATGAATTATCTGGTAATGCTATTGTTGATTTGCTTTATGAGGAATTTATATGTCGGTTTGATCATTTTATAGAACTTAAGACTGATCAAGGTGCTGAATTCAAGAATGAAATGGTTGACAGATTATATCTACCTATTAAATTAATATATATAAAAATCTATTTATCTTCAAATTCTACAACAAACTATGATTCTTGTTTAATTTCTTCTACATTTCCATTGGCAACTACTGGTACTTCTGTTTGTTTTTCAGGTTGTGGTTCTTCTTGTGACTTGGTAGCACCTGGGTATTTAGACCCTTTATTCTTAACTTTTTTAACCTTCTTTTCTTGTTTTGGTTTTTCAACAGGATAACCATTCTTTTGAGCATCTTGGAATTCTTGATTAGATTCATAATCAGCTCTAATTGGGGCTAATAATTCATTAATCTTATCAGCAACCCCTGATTTTAAATCAGGTGGAGCTAATAATTCTTCTTTAAAATCAGCTTTCAATTTTTCTAAAGAATCATAAGAAATTGGTCCACCATATTTTTCAGGTCTATTAATATCTAATTTAAATGAACCTTCTACACCAGTTTTAAGTTCATGAATTGGTTGTATGACGAATTCAACAAATGAAAGTAATCCATTATTTTCTATATCACCAGGAGCACAATAAGCTGAATTAATCTTTTTCTTAACAACTTTTGGTTCTTCTAATACATCAATTTTTGAATTTGGATCACTTGCACTCATTTTCCCTCCTTGACCTAAACCAGGCACCATTTTATTCATTAAATGAGCTCTCTTTTTGTATCCAATACTAGGTAAATGTTCTTCTGCTAAAACAAAGATTTTTCTTTGATCAACACCACCAAATTGAACATCAACATCTAAATGTTCTTCATCAATAGCTTGCATCAAAGGATAAATCAAACCAGATAATAAAGGATTATCAACTTGTTTAACAACATCAGCACCAGCTCTCTTGGCATCATTTTGAGAAACAATATTTGATAATTTAAAAAGATCCATAATATATTTCCCATCTTTTTGATATGAGGATCCAACAACAAATTTTAATCTTTCAATTGGAACTCCAATAGATTTTAAAATTGATTTCACAACAAATTCATAATATTTTGCACGATATTGAACAACTTCTAATGGTGCCTTCATATTATCTAAATAAGCATGCAAATCAGCCAATAAAACAGTGACTTCACAACCAGCTTTTAAGAAATGGGCTAATTTGACCATAGGGACAAAATAACCACAATGTGGTTTACCAGTTGGTGCAGTACCCCAGTAAAGTTTGACTGGTCTTTTTTCAACTTCCAAGATGTTTTTAATGATTTGGGCATTAAGAACTTCTTGTAAGTCCTTGGTGATTAAATTATATTGTTCAGTTGGATCAGTTAGTAACATTTTTGATATCGTTCGTCGGAAGTAAAAAACTTATTGGACAAGAAAGATAAAGAAGTTTTTCCTGTTATGGTGATGAAGATAGATTTCAATCGTGGAAAATTTTAAAAAAATTTCTGTTGATGATTTTTTTCCACCGTCACTTTTCTTTTTTTTTAGCGTTCTTTCTAAGGCAATAGAGTCATAGATTAGCAGCCGGGTGCATGATAGACAGGTTTGCGTAAGAATGAAAAGTATAATGAGTCACATTTTTGATTCTAGCACTCAAGTAAAGTGATATTAGAGTCATATAAAGAGAACATCATTATTTGAATAAAAATATTCTCGGGAATATCCGTAAATTGTCAAATTTTACAATTGAATTTTCTAAACTAACAATTCTAATACTAATACTAGTTATATGTTACAAAGAATATCTCTATACACTATCTGTTGTTCTGCTAACTGCCTTCCCAAGAAATCGTATGGTTTTTGAACTGCTAACTTCAAAACGATATTATATGTATGAATGTAAGATACTTATCTCTAGGGTGACTCAGGGAATAATGGTTCTGACTTGGTCGATTCTTGGGGTATAGCATTATTATTAGTATTATCATTAATGAAATGATCATCATTCTCTAATAATTCAAATGCAGTTCTATAACCATGTTTAACGATTATATATTTCATATAAACTCTTATAGTATCACAATCATCTATTTCAAATCTATCTTTAGCTTGTTCCCAAGTCATTCCTGTTGAAATTATTTCATCACAATTCTTAACAATATTTGAATCATCAAACATTTGTTCTTCTATTATTTCTGGTTCCATATTTAATATTATTTGACAATAAATATACAAAGTCTCTCTTAATGATAAGTTTATACTTTTACGTTTGGTTGTTATCTTTCGTTGGAAATCAACTATAGTAAATAAATAATACAAAAGCAGCACCTATTTGAACTAATACCTAAAAGCAAGTTAAGTTAAATACAATAAAGTTGCTTTCTCCACTGGCTTCTTTTAGAGAATAACGATATAAATGTATATGAATTGAAATAAACTTACAAATCTTAAGAGCTTAATTCTTTTTAATTTAATTTAATAAAGAATTTGGTTATAATAAGTTTAAAACCATTTTTATACTTTTTACATTAAAAGTTTAAAATCTTGTGATTTGATTTTCTTAATTAATCATTCTATTTTGTTTTATAAAGTGACTGTGACGAATGTACAATCAAACATACTTAGCCCACGTATCTTTTTACTGCTACTAACTATGCTCTAATTCTAAATAAATTTCATTTCATTTCTATTTTCTCTACTTCTTCTTCTAAGCATACAATAGAAATCCATATCTCTTTGTCTTTTGCAAATGAAACCACAGTTTGGATTATTTTGTTCCTTTCGTTTATTATATTCCCTTAATGAGTGAGAGAAATTGGGCAAAGTGTAAGAAAAAAGGCAGTTTTTTTTTACAACCAATTTTATTAAGAAGCTTCTTCATCAATTGAAAACACTTCTACTTTTCCATATTAAACAATTCAAAAAGTAGAGACTGTGTGTTATCGTATGAACAATGCTGATAGATGATACTGATATTTCTACTGCAACAATGATTGATGTAGATCCTTTAAAACGATTCCTAGTTCAATTGCCTTCAATCTTAAATTATACTGAACATGCTCAAATTAAACATAATCTTTATAGTGCCTTATATTATATCATATCAAATAATAGTACATATTTAGAAGATATATTCCCAGAGATCTCAAATCATGAATTAATGAGAATGCTTGATTTTAAATACAGTTTACAATTCCCTTGTAATGAACCATTTTATGACGCTAAATCAAAGGCAAATTATACCCATCCCCCAGATCAAGCATGTGCACGCACTTTTAAACATGGTGATTCAGTATTTAGATGTGCGGATTGTGGATTTGATGATACTTGTGTTTTATGTTCTTATTGCTTTAATGAAGCAGATCATAGGGGCCATAATATAACAATTTATAGTTCACTGGGTAACAATGGAGGAATATGTGATTGTGGTGATCCAGAAGCTTTTACGAAAGAATTACATTGTAAGTGTCAATTAATACAATCGTCATCATCATCGGAAAAAGGGGCTGATTTATCTGATATAAGTGTAAATATAAGAGAGACTATTCGGGTTGTTTTGGATTATATATTGGACGTGACCGCAGGATTCATAAATACATTACCAGATATTCATTCAATTACAGATAAAGCAACTGGTCGGATATATTTAGATTCAGAAAGAATTTCAAATGCTGGTTTATTGCCATCTGAAAAATACGGTGGTGCTATCGATTCTAATTCTAATCACTCTTGGTGTTTATTATTATGGAACGATGAATATCATAATTTACAAGAAGCCATAAATTCAATTAAGGCTGGAATTAATTGTTCAGAATCAAAAGCCAATGATATCGCAAGAATCATTGACAAAGAAGGGTTTGCTATTCTAAAAGAATCAAAGAATCCTGAAGATTTAATTACTGCCAAAACTGCCGTTGAAGCTGGTGGACTTATTGCAACTATAATTTCCGCACGCGACCATGCCAAGTATCTAATTGTTAAACACCTTTTTAATTGGTTGAAAGAAGTCACGAATTTTAAAGCCAATGCCCAATTTAAACAATTATCAAGATTGTATTTATCAGAATTGTTACTTGAACCGGGATATGACTTGGACAATGATTCTTTACCATTACGTTTTATTGAGTCTAGTATACGGGCCACATGCTTTGAAAATGGTATTCCTTATGAAGGTAAAATTATTAGTACTTGTTTAACTTCAGTACGTCAAGATGTTGATACATTAGATTTTTTATCTAAAGATTTTCGCCAATTAGTAGAACCAAATCCTAGATTGAAAATTCAAAATTCTCGATTACAATTCTTATTGCTTTTTCAAATTAGATTAACAAAAACAATTAGATCGAAATTATCAGTATTAATTATCCCACCATTAGTTTCTGATCCAACTAGAAAACAAATATTCAGTAAACAATTTATTGAAATCTTTCCATCACTTTTTGCAATAATGGCAATCACTGATAGAGAAGAAGATTTGAATTTATTATCAGATATAATATCACAACTTTTTACATGTCCAAATTCTATTCAATCAATATTGAAGGAGGGGTATATAGGTAATTTCCTTGGGCCTTTGACTCAAATCATAACTGATTATTCGACTAAATGGAATTATGATACTGGTTATCCCAATTTCCATGATATTGGAGTTGATACCCAACAAAATCGAGCCATTAAAAAGGCGATTAAGATTGGTATTCATAATTTATCTCATTTTGTTAATAAAGAATTAGCCGGAAAGGAAATGTCAGCATTAATGAAACGAGACGGATTCGTTATGTATTTATTATTTTTGAGGAATTTTCAAGGATATATACCTATTAAAAGAAAATATGGTGATCATGTTGAACGAGAAAATTATGATTTCGAAATCCATTTAGAATATTCATTGCCGATTTTGACCCAAATTAAGAATTTTATCCTGAATCAATATAATTCTGAACATCTTTTCCGTAATATGATGTCATTGTTTGCGTTTTTGATGCCTTCAAGAGGAAGACCGAGATTTGATGGAGGTGTGATTCTGTTCCAAGTTAGTAAAGAACCAGTGGGGTTTGTTAATCCATTACATACATTATTATCATATATTCTTCAATTTCGAGGTGTCGATTTATTTAGGGAGTTTTTGGGAGATAGTACTCATGAATTGGCAATGATTGCTGATGTTTCATTAAGGAGCATTGTCCTCAATTCACAAATCAAAATCGGACATTGGATTAGAAATGGGATTGCAGCAGCTTATCAAGCTACTTTATATTATGTACAAATGAGTGATATGACATATATTAGAGATTTCCATATAAATCAAATAGCTGCCAGTTTTTATCAGAATGAAGATCCTTCCCGAGTTTTGAAGAATTTCTTACATCGTTGGGAATTAAATAAATGGTTTTCAAATCAAGTTAGTTATGATAAAACCATATATGAAGATCGATTCGGATCTATTGTGGAAAGATTCATTGTGTTTGTTTATAATATTATTACCGATCGAAGTTTATTTATCAAAGAATCACCCGAGGAAAGATTACGAACTCAAGCTAAATGGTCTATAGCATATGGATTATGCGATGATGCGAAGTCATATTCATCTCTTAAGAAGAAGATTGAGAGTGATGTTTTGGGAATATCGGACTTTGATAAGATTCTTTGTGAAGTTGCTGATTATCAACCTCCTCAAGGATTGGTGGATACTGGATTATATAGATTAAAGGAAGAGATGTATGAGCAATTGGATCCTTTGAGTATATATTTAGACCCAAGTCAATTTCAAGTTGTTCTGGATGCTTTGATTAAGAATATTGCCAAGATTAAAAAAATAAAGAATGAAGATAATGTGATCTTAAAACCAGATATTAGATTATGTAATCTTGATTATATTGATGAAAGAATTGGAGATTTTACAAAGACTAATATGTTTGTTAAGTTGATTTATAAATTTCTTCAAGTGGCAATTGATACTTCGGATGAAACTTATCTCCCTCAATTATTACATTTAATACATGCGATTTTATTGGATGATGAATTGATTCATGGCCATGATTATTTAAATGAACATTTTGTTGATATCCCAATTAGTGATTTATTGTTAACTATTGTTGAATCAAAAATGTCCAAACGAGTTATACAAAAGGCAGATTACTTATTAGATCAATTAGTGATGAAAGATAAACAAATTATTGAAAGTTTGATATCTTGTTTTGGTGAAGAATACATTCAATCATACAAGAAAAGAAAGACAAATTTATTTGAAACTGAAGCTGAAAGAAAGAAAAGATTGGCTGAAGAAAGAAAGAATAAAATTTTGAAGAAATTCTCCAAACAAAGACAAAAATTCCTTAGTCAAAACAAACACCTTCATGATGATGATATGGTGATGACAACCAGTGATGATACTAATAATCAAGATGAAATTCAACTACGTGTTTGTGTCTTATGTGGAGAACCTGAAAGTCATGATCAACCATTTGGTCTCTTGGTAAGTTCCGCCAAAGCTCCGATATTTTGGAAGATTCCATCTAAACCTGATGACAGAGTCATATCTGCATTGGAAACTTGGGATAAAGACCTCTTGACTCATGAATATGATTCTTATGGAATTGGTTATACGCCGGAAGAGGGCGAAAAAATTGAAGCTCGAGTATTATCTACTTGTGGCCATGGTATTCATTATGGATGTTATACTCGTGGATCTGAACATACCAACCATTATCCATGCCCTTTGTGTCATAATTTACATAGTTTTTTTGTACCTTCATTCATCCCATCCCAGGCAAAAAGTTTGCCTGATGAACTATTACATGCCGAACCAAAGAAAAGGAAATATAACCAAATTACTTGTTCAAGTACCGCAACTAATGTCGACGAAATAATTCATGGATTATTTAGTGATGATTATAAAGAGTACAAACCATTTATGAAAATTTTAACCCAGGTTGCCAAAGAAATCACTGATAAGAGATATTTAGGAGAACAAACAAGAGGAATCATGTATAAGCCAGTACAATTCTTTGATTCACTTTTGAATTGGTCTGTTTTGATCGCTGATACAATTAAGATGAACGAAATCTCCACCAGAATCAATGGTCTTGAAGGCTATTGCGATTTTTTGAATCAAATCCCGGGATCAGCAAAAACGTTATTAAAGAGTTTAATCCAAGGTCGAGCATTGGTATCTCATGAATCTAGACAACTTTTTGGTAGAGGATCTGATTTATCCAAAGAGATTGTGAAATTCTGGGGAGAATCAAATTCAATGCTAGATGGAGGAGTTTTTGATGAGTGTATAGCGTGGTTCTTCCAAGGAAATGAATCATTGGCCACAATAACAAGAATGGGAATGACCAAATTGCTTGCTATTGTAATTTTTTCACTTATGACTAGATTGGAAGGAGACGGGCTTTATTATTCGGGTTTAATACAGAAGGATGACCCAAATTCCGCAGTTCCTCGGGAAATCATATCAAAATTTGAAGATGTATTTATGAAAGCTATGCGTTTGTCGGAAAGCAATGGTCCAATGCTGCAACTACCACATGGAGCTGCAGCCTATTATGATGTGTATCTTGTTGTTGAAAAAATCTTGGGTATCTTTTTGAGAAACATGATTATTTTTGCCGATATGTTGACATCTGAATACAAAGGAGAGAATATGTATGAAAGTGTTCCAGAATTTACGAAGATGAAGGAAGAGATTGAATCTAGTAGTAGGAAGTACGGTACTGATCCATTGACTAAGGCATTGAAAGTCCCATCATTATTGGAACTTTTCACTACAATATCACAATTTGAAACTTCATTTGAAGAAAGTATTTTTGAAATTATACTCTGTTCCAAGATCCCGGCACATCGTGATCAGGGAATACTTTCATTAGACTACCCAGGTATAGTTCATTTAGTAACTTTGCCTGCAGATTATCATTCCTCCCTATTGAGTGTCACCGATATGACTTCACGTCTGAATGCGATATGTTTGCTATGTGGAACCTGGGTTCCTTCTACTAACATTTTCCGTCATATGTTAACATGCTCCCCAAATAGCGGTATTTGTTTCAATCCAAGAACCAACACATTGAGGGTATGTGTTCATGTTGGTCGTAGCCCAATAAGTGTAGAAATGCCTGCTCCTTATTTGACTATTCATGGAGAAGTGAAAACAAGTAGATATCATGGGAAGGCAACTTTGAATACATTTAGATTCTTCATGTTAAATAAAATGTGGTTAAATCAAGGGTTGTATGGATTTGTTACTAGAAATTTATTCGGAACTGCACTGACGATGGAAATGCCTGATATTGACCTCAATCTACAAAGAGATGTACTGGATGGCCTTGACTTCATGGAGGAAGACGATTTATCAGATGAATTTTTCAGAGATGATGACGACGATGATGATGATCAATATATGTTTTAGTTTGGCTTTTGTATATAATTTTATGTGAACATAAGTGATAGTTATATAGTCTTTGTTTGCATTAACGTAATGTATATATTTATTATTACACTAATTAATCTATAAAGTTTCCCAACCACCTGGATCCAATACACTCTCTAAGTTTCTTACTATATAATTTGGAACATTATGCTGTAACCAGACGTTCCTTGTAAAGTCATCATACCTTAACTTCAGGAAATATAAAGCCTTCAGCTTCTTTGACTCATCCGCTAACTCTCCATGTTCATCCAAATATGGCGCATTGTAAAAAGAGCCACCATTCTTATGTAAAAGTAGCAAAGTTCTATCCTTTGGCAATAAGAAAAGACCAACATCGTGAGGACATTCTTTCAAATAATGATCTGTACATTGGCCCTCGATACATCCCATTGCTTGTTTCTGAGCATCCACGACTTCGGCACAAAACAAGCACACTGCAGGATCTTCAATCGTTAAGTTTGGATTATTGTATCTATCCAGATAGTAATATTTTGTGAAGAAATAATCTAATCTTTCTGGTAAATCCACTAATTTAACTATTCCTGGATATTCAAGTTTCTTTTGAATGTGATATATGTTAGCTGATTTACGTGTTAAGCTTAGATAGTCGATGAAATCGCCGAAAATCTTGCCTTCAGTTGAACTCGTGTTTGGATCAGTAAATGCTTGCAAATATTCAGCAATTGATTTTAAATTCAAGAAGGTACATAATCTATCAGCTTCTAATTCCGAGGATGAATACAACGAAAAATCAATGGATTCTATATTAGCACATTGAACGTAAGCGTAGATGGCAACTCTTCTTAAGAACGGGGTGACAGACTTCACTAGTAATGAATATGCAACAGTACCAAATTTTTCATTTTCAAATATCGGCTTGGTATGTTCATCTAATTTTATCAACTTTTCGAAGCATCTTCTTGTATTATCCGCAACTTGTGAAGGGACGTTTGAAATTGTTGGTATATCAAACACTGAATATCTCCAATCTTTCTTCAAATTCTTACCCATTTCATTTGTTAATAAATTCAAAGTTTGGATCAAGTGACCAGTAAACGCCATTTCTAAAATAGAATGAAAGTCAAATCCTGCCGAAGGCAATGGTAGAATATTTACCAAACATTCAAAGAAATCAACTTCCAAAATCGACGTATTAATTGGTCCTTTGCCTAACAGGAACAAATGTGCAAGCATCTTTGCATAACCATCGCCTCTAGGATTTGGTGTATGGATCCAGCCTTTAATCTTCATTAGAACACTGGTATTCCTGAATTCGTTCAATGTTCTCAAATTTATCAAACAATTATTTGGTAATTGATTAATAATCAACTGTCCATTTGAACTGGTTCCTCGAAGTGCTATTTCAATTGATTTTATAGTATTCACTAATACAAATATGGAATCAGCCTTGAATACTTGGGGGAATGTTAGAAAAGAAAGGATTTGAAACATATTACTTAATAATAATCTAAATTGATGTTGAGGTTCGTCTTGACTGATATCATTAGATAAGTTTGTAGAAAGCATTTCTTTTGAAGTCGGAGTCAATAATGACATAGATTCAATATCTTGATCTGATACTTTTGTGAATTGATCATACCAATCATGATTATAAATATTCTCAATGTTTAGATTTTGGAATGGATTTGATATGTTGGAAACACCTAAAAATTCCGATAAGTTTCTTCTATTCGTGGTCCATAATATTGGAATAAACATATTATTAATTGCCTTACATAATGGGCATACAAACTCCTTATGCTCGACATTCTCAGGGGTATTTCTTGTGATTTGGTTCAGTTTATTCTTATTGGTATTAAGGAAATTCAAATAGCATTGGAAATGCATTCCATGCCCACAACTCAGGGAAACTAATTTACTTTCAACATCGTCACAAGATTTGAATCCAGGTCCAATAACAAACCGATTACGTACATGTTTCATAAATGATTGCCACTTTTCAGTCTTGGGATTATCGTGCTCTAAATTGTCATCGTATTCAGAAGAATCTAAATCAACTCCATCAGAAAATGCTTTTAGGAACCAATATTCGTCATCAAATGGTACATTTCTAAACTCCGACGTTTTTGAAACATAGGTGATAAGTCCAAAGGGACCAGCTCCCTCAGCTGCATTTTGACAAAGCATACAATGCGCTTCTGGAAAGTTCCATCCACTTTGGGCTGCACAGTCCTCCATTTCTATATCTACGTCGTTGGCTTCAAAGATATTCTTCTTGATGAACAGATTTTGTTGCTTTTTGAACCTTGCTAATAGTTTTGCTTGTCTTTCTTTTGCAATTCTCTTCTTTTTAGCGATTTCATCTTCACTAGCTGTGAAACTTGATTCAATTTCAATATTCATTTTATCAAATCCTGGGACTTGTTCCCGTAAAATGTCTCTAAGGTTGTGGTATTTAGCTTCAAATACTCTCATTATGGCTCTTACTTTACAATGATGAGCACAATATTCGTCTCTCATAAGCACCTTATATAACAAACGAGCTATTGAAGTAGAATATTTCTCAGACACTGCAATAAACTTATCATAAAAAGTCCCATGTTGTTCAGTATTCAATAATTGTTCATATGAACAAATATGAATCAAATGTAAAGTAGTCTCCATCAATCCATCAACTTCACCAGCAACATTACTTTGTATATATAACAATGCTCTAATCAAAAACTCGGCAAAATAAGGAGAAGCTGAAAAGTTCCCAATATATCTATAAATTCCTAAATCTTCAATTTTCCGTCTATATGGTTCAATGACGATTTCATTTAGTGGTGTTCCTGTCTTCTTATGAATTCTATTCTTGACAAACTTAATGGCATCATCCTTAACATTGGTAGTATAACTGAAATAATATGGATTCATTTCATCCAAATATTCTTCTTTCAAGTGATAAATCCCGAGATCATTTGTTCCCTTAGGTGGTTTGAAGGTTGTTATTTCACACAAGACTGGATCAAATCGTTTTTCTGAAAGTAAATGATCAGGAATATGAGAACATAATTTTGTATAATTCATTCCACCAAAACATAAATTATGGATAATTTCCTTTTGGATTCTTGCTTGGACTAAAGCCTCATGATTGGAACCCTTTAGATAAATATTCTCCGTTAATAAATGAATCAAGAAATACATAAACTCTTCAATGATATATGGTAGAGTCTTGGAATCATATACTGGAGCATCTTCCTCTTGCTGCTCTTCTCCCTCCCGAACAATTCTGCTGTCCTCAACTGACCATTTTCCCAACAAGAACCAACGACTTAAGAATTGGAAACAAACTAGATTAGGATCATTTGAATTCAGGAAAACTTGAGCTAGGAATAAATCTCGTATGTAACCATTTTCACGAAGTGCTGAATTCTTATATAATTGTAATTGAGATCTTACACTAAATCCATTTCTCACCCAAAACCCAGATTTGATCTGTGACATCAATACTATTGTTCTTATGGAATAATCAAATATTGTTGATGGTATATTTGGAATCCCATACTCTTCACCCTGAGTTGCTTGTGTAAAAATTTCAATCAATTCAGCAGGGGAGTTCAAATCGGAATATTCAACTAACCAACTCAAGAAAGAATGAAGTGGATGTAAGAAACATACTTTATCATCATCATCTCTTTTCTCAATGAACATTCCACTAATTGGTTCTCTAATCAATTCCTTCTCTCCTTTTATATTTATATCAATGTCTTGGTCAACAAGCCCAGGATATGTACCATTTTCAAGACTAATCAAGAATCGTAACACATATTGAATGCATTGTCTGCCAATGTTATATTTCTCTGAACTATCGGTATATTTAACTCTTCGTAATGATTGGGCAACATATTCACCAAATTGATAAACCACCAGGATCGCATGGAAAAAGGCAGTATAGTCAGTACTTTCATATTCAACATGATTGGTTTTTTCTCGTCTCATTACCGGTCTTCCTTGAAATAATGCAAATAGATCACATGCCATCGGGATTATGTTTCCACAAAGAATGGTTTTGGGAGCATAATTTCGACTTAAAATATATCCAAGATCAAAGAATATTTGTCCCCATCTTCTATTTTTTAGACTTTTGATGGATATTTGATTTGATACTTTAATATTTTCTGGTGTTTGAATGTCTTCACTGGTTAAGAATCCATAGATCGATGCCAAAATTCTAGTAACATCCCCATGTTGAACAATTGAGGTTGAATTCGTAGGACAGGTGAATAATTGAGTAGATAATGTACACATAACACTAAGTTCGGGTTCTCTATCCATATTGAGGAACATATCGGCAACTACTGGGTAAATATCAACGTATTGACAACAAATAATATTTTTGTAGTTTAGATTGGTAATTAAGGATGTAGAATAAATATCATGTAATAACACTCTAGGTGCTTTCCAGAATCTGATATCAAAGTGGAGTAAATATTGTAACCTTGAACCAAGATGATTGACATTTGGTAAGTATTCCTGATCGGTTATGTTGTAATTACATTGTTCGCATACATCATTTGGTAAATTCCATTTTGTAGGGACAAATTTCCAATGAGAATCTAAGGTATATGGGTCTCTTGATGATGGAACTTTGGGGATTTTTAAACTTGAATCTAATGTTCCTGCCCTATAAGTATAATTTATATCATTTTTGCTAGCCACTAACAAGCCATTCTGCCATTTCCCACAAAATGCACGACATAATAAGTCTTTAACAGTATCATTAACCTTGAATATTTCGCTTTCGGTTAAATCATAAAGCCACAAAAGAATTTCATCACACATATCTTCTCTAAAGACATCTCTGTTACTTCTTATACATGTTGCTAATCCAGTTGCACTTAAAATTTTCTGTCTTTCCATTAATAAATTGATATTTCGTGATCCTATTACCTTTGCTCTACCTGAAGTTTGAATCTTATCTGTCACCATCACGGCAAATTCTTTGACTTTCCTACTAGCTAAATGTATTCTTTGTACTGCATCTCTATAGTACCGTATTTGATCATTATATACAAGTAAGTAATATTTTTCATTATTTGAATCAACAAAATTAATATCTTCACAATCATATTTCCGTGGATCCAAAGTACTATTAATTGAATTTAGGTCTATTTTAGTTGAAGTCATTTCTTCAGGATCTTCAAATTGTAAATCTGATTGACTCATGATATCAATAACAAAATCCAAAAGTATTTCAATTGTTCTTAAAAATGAAACAGCAAATTCATTCGGTATATCTTGACATAGACTCCTTACTTTTTCATCATTGTTATTATATCCATAGGGGCATAAAAAGTCTTTAAGCCAAGCTTCAGGATCTCCACAATCACAAACTCCACCATTTTCTCGCTGACAAATTGCTATATTAATCTTATGACCCTTGTGATATTCAGGTTCAAAACAATGACAACAAAGAGCACAGGTTTCATCAAATGCACAAGTCAAACATCTATATATAGGTTCACCCTTTCTGAATATTCTTGCACACGGCAGTTTTCCATGATAAGCATGATGATCATCAGTATGAACTTTTGGTTCTCGTTGAGCTAGAATCGTTTTATGATAATCTTGAAATTTCCAACTAAATTCAGTATCCAATTTATGAACAAGCTCAACTTCATTGTTTGAATTAGCATGAGGGAAGAACCAATTTAAATACTTGCCTTCATTAGAAATTGACATAAATAATGCTTTTCTGATTTGTTTCTTAACATCTTTAGTAAGTTTAAAATCTGATTTGGTTGGAAGGTGCAAAAGGAACCTCTTTAATGTTCCAGACCTATTCTCCTGTTCCATTGTCCTCCAACCGATTTATATACTAATTGGCAATTAGGGGTACCTTTTATTGGAGGTTGGTTGGTTGGTTGTAAGAAAAATAAACAAATTTTGGCAACGGCAAAAAAATCCTTTGGTTGTAAAAAGATTTAAAAAATCTCAATTTGCCATTTGAAAGCGAAAAAAAAAATGACTTCTCTCTCTTCAGTTTGTTAAATTATAGTACAAGGAAACCAACTGAGTGATCAACACTTGAACATCCAAACAAAAGAAGACAAAAGAAAGAAGGTAAACAATGACAGAATCAGAGATTTTATATTATCCACCAAGCATTGAAGTTAATAAACATAAGTTACAACATGTTCAAGATATAACATCTTTAGTATTAGGAATAGGATCAGGAATATTAACACTTGAATCATTCAATGGATTTATATTTTACTTTGTTGGTCTTACTATTGCCAATGGATTGTTCTATATAATATGTGGTGAAGGTCAAGCTAATAAATTCTTTAAGAAACCATTACAAGAGATATTTATTAATGGACTCTTGGGTAATGTACCTGCATTTATTATGATGTGGTGTTTAGTATATGCTTTAGTTAAATCAAGTTCGTAAGAAGAGAAGAATTTGAAGGGTGGCTTACAGAGGTCCAACTGGACTGGTCAATTCGGTATTGGAACATCTCAATGCTTCAATGGAAATACGGTGTGTTTTGCTATAGAAAAATTTCAATGCCTGTAGAAAAGTATAAACAGGGAATCGTACAAAATAATAGAAATTGGATGTATAAATTTATACTCGTATCTTTGTATATTAATAATGAAAGTAATGATCTTAAAACATCTTACTGAAACTGTAGATTCTTTGCTTCTCTCTTTCTATGGGGAAATGAAACAGAATAAGATCTCGATGGAGTAGGGTACTCTAAATGGTAGCCCGTGGTATCCATAAGCTTCGCCCGTATTAATAAAAAATGTCACTCTCCCACAATTCCGCCAAAAGCCACCCCTGAAAAAAAAATCCAATTCACTGACGTAAACTTTTCTTCCAATTTTTACTTCCAAGTCAGTTCTAAGAAAATTTCATAAATTTCAACAACAACACACCTAATCAATTGTATCATTCTCAATTGACTACTTACAAACAAATACAAACACAAATACAAATACTAAAATGGAAAAGATAGATTTATCTACAAACTCAAGAAAGATTCAAGACTCTTATGATAAGCTTATCAGAGGTGATCCAAGTATCACCTACGTTGTCTATTCCCTCGACAAAAATTCAACATTAGACGTCACCGAAACTGGCAATGGTTCTTTAGATGATTTCATTGAAAATTTCACTGATGGCCAGGTTCAATTCGGATTAGCTAGAGTAACTGTTCCTGGATCTGATGTATCCAAAAACATTTTATTAGGTTGGTGTCCAGACAATTCCCCATCAAAGGCAAGATTATCTTTCGCATCCAATTTCGCAGAAGTGTCTAAGGTATTAAGTGGATATCATGTCCAAATCACTGCTAGAGATCAAGATGATTTAGATGTTGATGAATTCTTAAATAGAGTTTGTGCGGCTGCAGGTGCCAGATATTCCGTTCAAGGTGCTGCTACTGGCTCATCAACCAAAAAATCAACTTCATCCCCAGCTCCGAAACCAGTCGTTTCTAAACCAATCGTTTCTAAGCCAGCAATCCATAAACCAACTGGCCCAAAGCCTTCATTCATCCCTAGATCTACCGGCAAACCAGTCCAACCAGTCAAATCCCCAGGATTTGTCCAATCAACTAAACCACCTAAACATGATGACGGTTGGGGAGACGCTAAAGATGTTGAAGAAAGAGATTTTGATCAAAAACCATTAGAAAGTGTTCCATCGGCATATAAACCAACAAAAGTTAATATTGATGACTTGAGAAAACAAAAATCAGATACTATCAGCTCAACACCAAAAGCGTCTTCATTCAAACCACAAGATAAGGAAGAAGATGACAAACCAAAACCATTATCTGAAAGAATGAAGGCTTATAATGATCCAAATGACGGTAGGTTGACTTCTTTACCAAAACCAAAGGTTGCTCACTCTGTTGCTTCTAGGTATGCCCCATCTGCAACTTCTTCTGGTGCACCTTCATTCGGTTCTAAACCAGTTATTGGTGCTAAGCCAGCTCAAGCTAATAAATTGGTTGGAGGAGCTTCTAGAGATTTCGGTTCACAAGGTGGAAAGACCCCAGCACAAATTTGGGCTGAAAAGAGAGGTCAATATAAGACAGTTGCTGGAGGTGAAGAACCAGTTAAATCCGCTGGCGGGGATGAACTTTCTCATACTTCTGAATTAGTTAGTCAATTTGAACAAAAGGCACATATCCAAGATGAACAAGAAGAAGAAGAACCAAAGGAAGAAGTGAAGGCTCCAGTTAGAAACTTGCCTCCACCTCCAGTTAGACATGTTGTTCCTGAACCAGAACCAGAAGAAGAGGAGGAAGAAGAAGAAGAAGAAGAACCAGCTCCATCTTTACCATCTAGAACCGCTGCTCCAGAACCTGAAGAAGAAGAACAAGAAGAAGAAGCTGCTCCTGCGCCATCATTACCATCCCGTGCGGCTGCTTCTGCTCCAGAACCAAAGGAGGAATCGATTACTGCCACTGCGGAATACGATTATGAAAAGGACGAAGATAACGAAATTGCATTCGCTGAAGGTGATTTAATCGTTGATATTGAATTTACTGATGAAGAATGGTGGACCGGTAAGCATTCCAAGACTGGAGAAGTTGGATTATTCCCAGCCGCCTATGTTTCTTTGAATGAAAAGAAGGCAGATGAAGTGCCAGAAAAACCACAAGAAGAAGAGGATGAAGCTGCTCCTGCTCCTTCATTACCTTCTAGAAGTGAACCAAAGGTTGAAGCTAAGCCAACTGCCACTGCCGAGTACGATTATGAAAAGGATGAAGATAATGAAATTGGTTTTGAAGAAGGTGAGATAATTGTTGATATTGACTTTGTTGATGATGATTGGTGGTCAGGCAAACGTGAAAAGACTGGAGAAGTTGGTTTATTCCCTGCCAATTATGTAAAATTAAACTAATCAAACAAAAAATTATATATTAAGTAGTCACATTGTGTGTGTTTCTTTCAATTTTTTTTATAAAGTCATATATAACGAATCTAAAATAAGTTCATTTTGCCAAATATTCCTTAACCGCCTCACCCCAAGCATCTCTTCTCTTATAATAAGCCAAATCATCCGGCAACGAATCAATCGCAAAACTCAAATCCGGTCCCAATCCTTCTTCCTTCACTTTCTTAATTGGGGTAAGATATGTCCTAATTGTCATAATCATAGCCTTCAGTATTGGCAACCTAACAAAACATTGTCTTTCCACTCTCAAACAGCATCCCATCCGATCATCACCATCACCACCACCACCTTCAAAATCAATATCTTCATATTTCATCTTTTCAATCTTTTCCCCTGGACGACCATGTAGGGCACCAAGATTGAAATAAGTCCCCTGGGTCTGAATTGACCAATTGTGACGAACCCAAAGATCAGTGGTTTTCAAATTATTAAAGAACTTATGCATGGAGAATTGTAAGCGGGGTTTATATTGTGGGACGGGGATATGGATGGCTGAAACTGGTTTGTTGAAGAGTTTGGATGGGTCAAATCCGGTTGGGAATCCGCTAACAGCTCCACGGAGGATATATTCTTCGTCAGCGTCTTGTGGGTTGTCTTTTATTAAGATTAAGAAATCTTCTTCGAGATTGGTGGCAAGAATGTGAAGCATTTCTTCTGGTGAAAGTTTGGTGGAGTGTTTGGGGAATGTATCTTGATTGATTTGATTATGGACCATGCCTGACCATCTTGAATATTTGAAGTGTTGGGGATATTTATCTAATAGGAATTGAGTAGTTACTTCATAAAATTCTTTCAAAGCTTCGATTGTGACTTTATTCTTATGAATATGGGTGATTTGGTCCAGATGAGCTTCGAGTGTCTTGCGTTTAAGATTCGTTTTGTGGACATAGGAATTTTCAATCAAGAGCCAATCTTCAGGGGTTTTGCCTAAATTTTTAACTCCCATAGAAGGGTTGAAATTCTTCTTGTTAACGAATGGTCTAATTGGTAACGGTTCTTCTTTTGACCAGTGATAATCGGGAGGTACAGCAGATACATGATGGAAAATTGTTGGTTCCTTGGTGGATCTCGTGACGTAGTAGAGGGCACCGACAGCAGCAACAATCACAGCTAAGATAAGGAGTTGAATCATAGGTTGTTGAACATAATATCTAAAGACTCAGGAGTATTCAGGAGCACATCTGGTTATATTTATAGGTTACAATAGATAAGGGGGGTTAGAGATAGTGGAGGCGTTTTGATAAATAAGCGCATTGCCTAATTGGGAAGGCTTAAAGAGTAGACGAGATTTTTTGAACAGAAAATAATTTTGCAATCAATTTTTGCAACTTCGGTTAAGAAACGACCCTTCTGCCTAACGGGATAATACAGGCGGTCAGCTACATTAAAAAGCATTGGCATCCAATAACATTAAGTGTCTAAATATTAAATAATCAAGCATATATAAGAAATAAATAAAATAAAAAAAATAAAATAAATAAATAAGTTTCTACAAAATTATATCACTCATAACTAATTGAGAAAAGCAAGATAAATCAGTCTTCTCCACCAGTGGACGACTAGATCTCATAGGAATAATACCTTCTTTAGCATCTAATTGTAAATCATCAATATAAACTCCTCTAATCTTCCCAATAACAAAATTCATCTTTTTAATAACATCATTTGCAATATTGGCAATTGTATTAAGTTGACTTTCATAGTCATCGTTGTTAGTATATAATAAGAAATCATATGGTGAACTTGGTCTTTGTATCATTGTTATTGAAGAATCGAAATATAAATAAACATTTTCTAATTTTTCAAATGAATTTATTTGTGATTTGTTTTGTTGAATAAAATGTGTCACTATATATTTACTATAATGATCAATTAAATCACTGATTAATTGTTGAATATATTCTAAACCATTGAAGAACATAAAGACTACTTTTCCAGGAAATGTTTTGATATCTTTACTATGTAAATGAGTAACCAATGCTTTAAAATCGTCTAAATATGTAATCTTTGAATTCAAAGGCACGGTATTATTTGCATGTTCATTGATTTCTATCAATTTTGATTCTATTTGATTTATAGTCCCATTGGAAATAATAATGACATCATAATCGGATTTTGGAACACAAGTAAATTTTTGAATCATAATGCAAAAAATTCTGGCGGCAAGTGTATGTATGATAGATAGAAAAAGGAAGATCCCGACAGGTTTGAATAAAAGTTAGCTAATTTCAGAGATCTAAAAATTCTATTGGACTGATAAGGAAAATCAATGGCCTTATATATAAGGCATTTTTCAAAGTTGTCCAGTTTGTGCAATTTGTGGGGTCCAATTTGAAAATTATAAATATGTACCAAATTGCCATTAATTCGAACGTTTAAGGTTCCAACAAATTTACGCCGTTTGCTTTTATATAAGCTTTTATGTCGGCTTAGGTTTCCCTTACCATACCTGAACACACTTTAATGAAGGCTTAAGAACATTGAAAATTAATACAAATAAACAGTCCCCCACCTTTCAGTTTGAATACTGTATAAAAAGTACCATCAAATTACTCATAAAGGTTGCTACGGCGAAACAAATGAAATTGAAATTTTCCAACAAAAAAAAGCTGCGAAAAAACGAGGCAATTTTATGAATATTTTTTGAAGAATGAAAAATTTTTGCCCGAAGTTTTCCTTCACTGGCTATTGTTCCTATTGTTAAGAACAATACCCTAGCTGTGGTGGCCCATAAGATTAATTGTTGAATCTGTTCGCCTTGGTGGGGGCAAGGAGGGGGGCATGCAATATGAGATGTGTCTCCATCGCTGAATAAATTACTACACAGTCCGGAGTTAGCTCTTTGATAGAAGTACATTTTGATATCAAACTGAATCGATTAATTACTTGGCATCTATGACACTGTAGAAATTATTTCAGGTTGTACAGTTACATTGTACCTTGTTGTCTACAGTAATCTCCGGGATCGTTAAGGTGATCGAAATCTGTCAGAAGATAAACCTGCAACAGCCTTTACACAAATTATTGAAATGTGGAGACTTTGAATTATAATTTGGAGAAGTTAAAAATTTCTCGCTGTCGTTTTCCAAATTGGGCATAGCATCCAGTTGCAATACTAAAAAAAAAGCAACCACTGATCGAAAAACCCGTTTTTTATTTCTTTTTTTCTGACTTCTTCTGTCTGGGGTAAACTATAATGGAATCCACGATTTTCAGACCTACTTCGGTTAAAAATAACATATGTTTAATGTCAGTTGCGGGGCCGAAGATGAGACATGTTGCTATGACGCAGTGGAAAAAGTCGTATGAATACTGATCGATTTACATGTCAGAATTAAAACGCACTATCTCTACAGAAACAATTCTAAAGTTTTATCATTACAAAAATATCATTAAACGGTCTTACAAAGTTAAGCTAATTGTATCTAAAGTATGAACTGAAAACTAATCTCAAGGTTGGGATTCTTCATTATTATTATTCGACTCGTCTTGTTGTACCTGCTCAATTGAGTTGTCTTCAGCTTCTCCTTCCGGGGTATCATCTGTCAGTTCCAGTATAGGTTCTATATTATCTGACTCTATGTTTTCTTCAATCTCTACTCTACTGTTCGAATGGTTCTCGTCATTCTCTTCTATAATTTCCGACTCTAAGTTCTCATCTTCCAATTCTAGATTCACAGTCTCAGCAACATCGACATCTTGGGTAGAAGAACTTCCAACCTCAATTTCTTCATCATAAGAAGGAGGTCTATGCGGAATACACAATGTATCCAACGTTATCCTCTCATCACAAGATCCAACCTCCGAATAAGCATTATAACTAAACTTATCATGTTCAATCGGTGGAGGAGAAGGACCTGACCCCGATTCATTCCCTCCATGTATTTCCCAAAACTCAGGTGGGAAATCATCTTCACGTTCACTTAAATCATTATTGTCATCATCCACTTCCGATCTTTCTAACAAGATATCAGAATTAAATTTCCGATATGCTGGAGGAGCCGGTCCAGAACCTTCCAAAGGAGCATAGCCCCATGATTTCACATTTCCTTCTATAAACACAAATCCCCTCTGTCCGAGGTTTACATGAAGAGAACAAATGTTATTCGCACCAATTATGGGGTAGATTTGTCCTTGGTTTTGGATTTTGAAGTTACGGATATGGCCACCAACTTTGGATTCACTCACTTTTTTGCCATTTCGGGTGAAGAAGACTGTGCCTGATCTGGTTCTGTATCCTATTCCTACGACATCACCTTGAGCTAATTTAGGGAATGGTGGGTCGGTTTTGAATTTGAACGGTTGGTTATATCTTCTATATCCGTCTGAATCGTAACTTATTGAATGGGTATGACGACCAGGGAGTCTAAACCAAGGATATGGTTTAATGGCCAATCCGATGGAGATTAATGTTTCTTCAGGCTGTGGAAGGTTATAGATTTTTGTTTCGAAATAGTAAACTTCATTCTTCATGGGGATTGGAAGATTTGTTTGAGTTGAACATTCGAAATTTTTAAAGAAGTTTAATTCGAATTTATTCAAGATTGTTAAATCATTATGAGTTAACATTTGACTTTTTTGAAATTCAAATGCATTAATTCCCTTTTCTTGAATTGAAAGCTTTTGACTCATTGTTAATTCACCATTTATGTATGGATTTGCAGCTAAATATTCTTTTGATTGGAAATATAATTCTTGCTCATCACTATTTAATTCCAAATAAGCTTGATTCTCTTCTTCTCTTCTTAATTCATCTTCAGATAATCTTAATCTTCGTCTTATCAAATAATATAAAATGACTGCAATGAATGCAAGAATAAATAAAATACTAAATGTGACTATTGATATGATGATGAACTGATTGAATTCATCATCATAGTTTTGACGACCACGTCCATATGGTGGAAGTAGCTCAGGTGGTGGGTTGTCGGTGGCGATAATCGGTTTACCAGACAGTGCACTGGAAAATTGTACAAATTCTATAAACATGTTCAGTGTGTTAATTGTTCGTTGCGTATTGTTGTTTGGTACTTGTTTAATACTCTAAGGCGTAGTGGAGCGAAAGGGGGGGTTTTTACTCTTCAGGACAGCGAGATGTTTATTTAATCGAGATTGTTGTTTCTTGGTGGGCAAAAAGCTCTTGATGGGGCTTAGTGGTAACAAAAAAAAGGGATGTGGGGGGTAGTAGTTTAAGGGATTTGGTTTTGTTTCAAAAATAGAAGCACTTGTAGTAGCAGTAATAGTCCTGTGTTGGAATGTTACCTAGTATCCTTATGTTGAAATATATTGTCCTATCGATTATCTCGCTCTGTTTTCAACTGAAATTTTGTAAACAGGGATAGATGTGATTGCTGTTTATCTTCAATTATTAATGAGAATTCAAAAGAAACCAATCTTTTTTTGTTGTTGCTCTTTTCTTTTTTGAAATGATCAATTTCGGCTGTGTGATCAAAAACGATATGATTGACGTCAATTTGCGTCATGTGATTATAGTCACGTGATTATGATGTCACATGACTGAAAACCTGTGGATGGGATCACAAAAATGATTTACGAGTTTTCATCTAGACTCTATTCTTTTTTTCTATTGGGGATCTAACTCGTTAAAGTAGAGAATGCAGCAACCTTGGCATTTTCAAAATTAACCCTTATAGGAATAAACCGCAATAGACGCGTCCGTTTCCTTTCTCTGTCTTAAACAGAACATAGGGGGGTTATGAAGTTGAATATATATCAGGATATGTTGTAAGACCCCTCAGATTGAAATTAAAATTCTTTTAAATCAGATTTAAGAAATTTAATAAACCACAAAATAATGATTAATCTTCCGCCCAAGACAATAATATCGAAGAAATGTCTTAAACTACAGATTGTTCATAATTGATTGTTTCCTTGCGGGAAGTGGGATATTTTATAAACGCTGCTATGTATTTTTAGAAATAATAAAACCTTATTGTACTTTTGACATTGTAACCAAATTATAAATAATTGTCAACTTTTGTGTAACTAGATATTTACAATAGTAATTTACCTAAATGGTCCTAAATTAATCCTTGAAAAGCCTGGTTATTTATTGCTCACGTTCTTTGTTAATTGTTCAAGTGGGATGTTTAAATTCTTTCTGAAATTTTTGCCGACTTCGAATTTAAACTTTATGAAATACGAATAAATTCAACACTAGATGCATTTTTTGAGTGGGTTTTTAAGGTGCCTTGTATAGTTTCTCATAACCCGTGTCAGCAAGTACCAACCAGTAATTAAACTACAATAATACACTGTAAAGTATAAAAGCTTGATTCCCCATGCACAGTTTACTTGCAATAGACGATCAGCCAAGAAAAGAGATTCGAGTGATTTTTCAATCTGCCAGCCTTTTCCAAGATTTTTTTTCTTTTCACATCTGTGTATAAATCTATTTTCAGGGGCGACGAACAGTCACAACTAGGCTATGCTATATGTGTGTGTATTATTTATATTTGCTATGAGAGTGGGGGATTTCCTATAATTTCTCGGGGGGTTGTGTAATAGGGAGTAGTCAATTACTCAATTAGAAAGATCCGAGCTACACAAAATTGATGATCTGATTGTTTCAATTATTATTTTTTATTAATGGACGAGAGATTTATTATTTTTTGTTTCTAAAAATACTTCGATTAAAATCTTAAAAATAAATATCAAATCTAAATTAGGAATTAATCAACAGTTGATTTTTCAACTCAAGTCATTATATTTCTATAAAAGGCGCCACCTTTCCCCCCTGTTGTGTTCACCTTTTCTGTTGAGAAAACTTTTGTATTTCCTTCTTCTTTCTTTCTTTCTTCCTTTCTTCATCGAGATTATTTAAGAACCCTATTTCAATCGCTATTTCCTTGTATTTATTAAGACTACCCCACGTCGTCTAACAACCCTCGAGAACTATTAATAGAAATTTTATAAATACACGATGAAGCTTATTGCACTCGCTACAATCGCATCTTCCCTTGCAGGTTATACTTACGCCTGTAATCCATTAACTGCAACATGTCCACCTGATCCTGCTTTAGGTACTTCCTTTACTGAAAACTTTAGTGGTCCACCTAGTCGTTTTACAGAAGTTCTTAATGGTGGTGAAATCACTTATGGTAGTAATGGTGTTGAATTAACCTTAAACAAGAGATTTGACAACCCAAGTCTTATTTCAGACTTCTACATTATGTTTGGTAAGGTCGAAGTTGTTTTACAAGCTGCTCAAGGTACAGGTATTGTTTCTTCCTTCTACTTACAATCAGACGATTTAGACGAAATCGATATCGAATTATTTGGTGGTGACCCATATGAATTCCAGTCCAATTACTTCGTCCAGGGTAATACTACCACTTTTGATAGAGGTGAATATCATCCAACTTCTTCATCCCCATTATCCAACTTCCACACTTATACCATTGAATGGACTAGTGAAAGTCTTTCTTGGATCCTTGATGGGGTTAATGTCAGAACTCTTGTTGCCGCTACTGCACCTCAAGGTTATCCACAAACTCCAATGAAGGTATTCGCTGGTATTTGGGCTGGTGGTGACCCAAGTAATCCTCCAGGTACTATTGAATGGGCCGGTGGTATTACTGACTATTCTCAAGCTCCATTCAACATGTACATCAAATCTTTAAGTGTTAGTGATTACTCAACTGGTACTCAATACGAATACACTGATCAAACAGGTTTTTGGCAATCAATTAAAGCTGTTGGTGGTGCCGTTAACGGTAACGCAGGTAACCCTGCTCCAGCTCCAGAAGTTTCTTCTTCTGCTCAAGATCCTCCAACTAGTTCATCCACTACTCAAGCGTCTTCTTCTTCAGAACATGCTACTACTAGTTCTTCTACTGAAGCTACTACTTCAAGTACAACTGCCTCTTCTTCCACTGAAAGCAGTTCTTTTTCTTCCTCATCTTCCTCATCATCAGCATCATCTTCCACTGCTGCCAGTTCTTCCACTAGTTCCACCACCTCCGAATCCTCAACTAGATCATCCACTACTGTCCCACCAACCACCAGTGCTCCATTCCCAACTACCATTGCTACTCAATCTCAACACAACACCACCTCCAGCACCACTCCACCTGTCAGCACAGTCGAAAATGGATCTTCCAATGTTAGGGCTGCTACATTCTTAGGTTTTGTTGGTTTAATTTCTTCATTCTTCTTTTAATTGGATTTTTTAATCCAAAAAAAAGTCTTTTTAATATGCTTTTGGTTATGCTAATGCTATTTTCATTTTATTATTAATTTAATTGTTTGCCGTTTTTTGTTTAGTATTATATTATATACAGTTTTATAAAAATTTTCGATATTATGTATTTTTGGAATTTAATCTATTAACTTTAAGTTTAATTTATACGAACTATGTAAAACCTCAGGCTTCTATATTCTCTGTACCGATGAATCTTTCAATAACTTGCATTGACAACTTGTTTACATCTTTCTTCTTCTTGTTCTTGTCCTTATTCTCAATAAGAGTATCAGACAATTCCTTCTTCTTATCTAACGTCTCATACATTCTTTCCTCAACACTATCATGAGTCACCAATTCATATGCGTCAACATCATGTACTTGTCCAATTCTATAAACTCTATCAGTAGCTTGTGCATGAATAGCCGGATTCCACCAAGGATCTAAAAAGATGATTCTAGAAGCCGCCGTTAAATTTAACCCAACTCCACCGGCTTGAATTGAACATAATAAAATCGGGATGTTCGGGCTTTCTCGGAATTTTGTTAATGCTTTTTCTCTAAATTCTGTAGTTAATCCTCCGTGATAGACCACACATTCAAAACCATTATTGTTGAGGATTTCTACCAAATCACGAAATGCTGATGTAAAATTGGTAAAGATGATTGTTTTTCTGGTGGGGTCTTTCTTTAAGATAGATAATGCATATTCCATCTTATTATACTTCTTACTCTTTCTCAATTTCGTAATGGCCTTAATCATGTCAGACACTAATTCCTTCGAGGATTCTTCCTCTTCCTCATATTCAATCTCGGGAGTGAAATCAGTGACAATTTTCCAATAAGAACAGTATTGTCTCAATCTTAAGAAAATAGCCACCACGGAAGCATAAGACCAAGCTTCGACATTTATCTTCAAAAATCTTTCAATTAAAACATAATCCATCGAAAGCTTACAATGTTCAATTATCTTTTGGAAACAATTATACACGCCTCTTTCTTCAGGTGACAAGAGAATCATTTCACGATACATTCTCTTTGGCGGTAATTCCAAATATTTCAAAATGGCTTTGGTACGTCTCAACATCACCGATTTTAATAATTCTCTTAATAATCGTAAATTCTTCTGACAAGTCTCACTATCTTCTTTCCATTGTTTCATACTCAAAAATGACCAATCAATCCTTTCATCATCAATTCGTAAGACGTTCAAAAGACTCAAGAGATCATAAGCATCATTTTGAACTGGTGTACCAGTAAGACACCATTTCCGTTCTGCTGTTAATTTATTGATAGCTTTTGTTCTCTCAGCAAGTGGGTTCTTGATTTGGTGTGCCTCATCAGCAATAATTCTAAACCATTTATAACTCAAAAATTGGGAATTGTTGCTAACTTCAGAAGTCGCGGTTGGATATGTAGTAATTACCACATCATATTTAGGTATTGCTCCAAGAAGTTTAGCTCTTTTGGGTCCATGATAGATCATGACAGATAATCCAGAGGCTTTAGTTTCAATTTCTTGTTTCCATTGATGCATCACGGCAGGTGGACATAAGATTAATGAAGTCTTTAAAAACCTACTGTTCTCGGGATTCAGTTTGTTCCGGTTGATTAACATTAATGCAATCATCTGAATAGTTTTCCCAAGACCCATGTCATCACATAATAATCCACCTTTGATTGGCTCTGATTCACGCTTTTTGAAAAAATCAAGTCCGATGACTTGATGAGGATATAATTTGACGTTCAAGCCAGGAACGAGCAATTCGGAGGATTGGAAATGGGAATGAGCAACTTCGTCATCTCGTTCTAATCCTCCTAATGTCTTTTGGAAGATGGGGTTGGATTCATTGGGATCTTCCTCTTCGATGAATTCTTCAAGTCCCTCTTTGGAAGGTGAAGGTTCTCTTGACTTTCTTTCGGACTCTTTTTCTGACCCGCTTGATTCTTCGGTCTTTGTATCTTCTACTTTAAGACTTTTCAATTGTGAACTGAGATCGTCTAAATCATCGGCATTAATGCTTTCAGGCGTTTTGGATTCCGATGATACCTTTGTAAAGTCAAATTTCAGGGCTATGCCTTTCAATGACTCAGCCTTATTTGTATCTTTTGTCAAAATAGATTTCACCTTCTTTGCATATGGATCCTTACTGCTGTCATCAAACTTCAACGTAACATCTGATAAGAACCCAGACTTCTTCGTTGAGTCAGGTCTAGAGACTTCGCTTGCACCACCACTACTTCTTTCAGGTGATTTGGACTTCGATGATGCCTTTGTAAAGTCAAATTTCAGGGCAATGTCTTTAAATGCTTCAACCTTGTTTGTATCCTTTTTCAAAGTGCTCTTTTGAGACTTCACATTCTTTGCATATGGATCCTTCCTGTTCTCATCAAACTTCAAAGTAACATCTGACAAGAACCCAGACTTCTTCCCGGAATCGGGTCTGGAGTCTTCGCTAGCAACAACATTACTGCCTTCAGGTGAATTGGACTTCGATGATACCTTTGTAAAGTCAAATTTCAGTGCTATGTCTTTCAATGTTTCAACCTTATTTGCATCCTTTTTGCTTGTGCTTGTTTGAGATTTCACATTCTTTGCGTATGGATCCTTCGTGTTGTCATCAAACTTCAATGTAACATCTGACAAAAATCCAGACTTCTTCCCTGAATCAGGTGTAGAGTCATCAACAGCATCAACACTACTGCTTTCAGGTGATTTGGATTCCGATTTAATCTTTGCAAAATCAAATTTCAGGGCTATGCCTTTCAATGATTCATCCTTATTTGCATCCTTTTTGAAAATGGTCTCACTTGTTTTCTTTTGAGATTTCACATTGGGATCCTTCTTGCTGTCATCAAACTTCAAGACAACATCTGACAAAAATCCAGACTTCTTCTCTGAATCCGGTTTAGAGTTGTCTGCAGTAACACTAGTGTCTTCAGGTGATTTGGACTTCGATGATGCCTTTGTAAAGTCAAATTTCAGGGCAATGTCTTTAAATGCTTCAACCTTGTTTGTATCCTTTTTCAAAGTGCTCTCATTTGTGCTCTTTTGAGATTTCGCAGTCTTTACATTTGGGTCCTTCTTTTTGTCGACGAGGTTTAAGTTAGCATTGGACAAGGATTGCTCAAGCTTGATGTTGTTTACCTTCATGCGACTCTTCTTATCTTCATCTTCATCTGATTTGATAACTTCAAAAATATTCTCTTTCTTGGTCAATTTTTTATCCTTTTCATCCTTACTGGTTCCAATTGATAAAGAACCGAGTTGATTGGTGACGTCTTCTTCTGCGTTCGACATAGTTGAATGTTGATGCCTGTAGAGATGAAAATTTCAGAAGTCAATGAAATTTCAATTGTCAATTCGAATTCGCGGTCCGCGAGAAAAATAATTGGTCGGTTGCGAAATAATGAAAAACGTTTGCAGCTCACAAAAGTGCTTCGAAACAAATCTATTACATTACACAATAGCCATTTGAAATTTTTTATATTAATTACCTGAGTAATAAAAGCAAAAAGAAGAATGTAACACGACTACAATGAAAAAGTAAGGAGGATGATCCTTGCATGAAATAGCTAGAGAAATGTACTAGATTCCTAAGAGAGATTCAATCAACCTCTTCTTTTCATCCAGTATTTTCTTCATCGTCTCTTCAACTGAATCTTCATAGTACAAACAATAAACATCGGTCTGCCTAGAGGAATCAGCCTTGCGGTGAAGTATTGTATCTAAAATACCATGATTCCACCCAGGTTCAATGATAAAGCTTGTAGCAGCACCTAAATCCATCCATGGAGCTATCGACTTAGATGAAAGTATCATCACTGGAATATTACTTGTTTTGAACTCCTCAAGTTGCTCCTTTTTCTCTGAATCGGTAAGTTTCCCATGACAAATCAATTGCTCAATTCCCTTGTTTCTAAGAATTTCACTCATTCTTTTAAACCCTCTTGTATATTGGGTAATTATGATCGTTTTCTTTTGGCTTTTAAGAATTGGTAAAATGAAATTCCATTTGGAAGACTGGAAGGGGAATTCACAGTGTGACATTAAGTTACGGAAGGTGTCATACAAGGCTCTACATTGAGAATCTACAGATGGTGGGTTTCTAACAACAACCAAGATCAAATATCTCTCCCAATGTAAAAAGCTGCTGAAGCTTTATGTTCGCAGTAAGCTTGGACACAGGAGATTTTACGGAAAATACTCTTTCACATAAATTGCTTTCTGAAGATTTGTGAAGAATTTCCAAAAAACAGTTATACAACTTTTGCTCCATCTCTGATGTTTTTAACTTGATTTCCAGGTATGTTACATTGCCTGAACCAACAACAGCCTCCCCCCACCTCCCGGGAACAGCATAAATGGTATTTCTTAGCAATTTTTTAATCTTAATAATTGGTCAACTGAAAAACCAACGGACATACTCTTTCCTCTTGAAGTAGCACTTATGAGTGCCCAATCAATTCCTTGTGAATCAACTCCGAGAAAATCCAAAAGGCTTTTCAAATAATATATAGAACTTTTCATTGGAGTGGTAGTAATGAACCACTTGTAGATAGCATTCAATTTATTCACAGCCTTATTTGTTTTGGTTGTGTGATTTCCGAAATTATGGGGATCCTATGCCAATTGCATAAATTCTGAATCTCTCTTATCTTGAAATATGGGTTGTCGGTATGTGGATATGACGACATTGTAGTCCTGAAACCTTCTTGAGTTTTCCTTGTATCCTTTCGACATATAAACTTTCAAGCTACTCCCGCTGATTATCAAATGCTTTGACCAAGAATCTCTACCTGCTCGGGAGCATAAAAGTAGGGTCACTTTGCTGTTACCTTCATCGCCAGTGTTTGGAAAGTCATTCTTGATCAATTGAATAACGGTATTCTCTTTTGGTGATCCACTCCCATTCTCGAAGATTAACCCACTACCAGTGGTGGACCCGCTTTCTCTGTCAAGCATCCACTGAAAGGTTGCAGAATCCGGACCAATTTCCAGATTCACCGCTTCACTGAAAGAGCTAGATTCCAGCTCGGTAGAATTTTCTTTCAGGTTGGTTGCACAGAAAGTGGCCTTACTTGTTTTATTTTCTTCTTTCTTAACCTTAACCTTTTCATTTTGTGCATCTCTGGTCAGACCAATATCATGACCATTGTCGCCTCCATTCAACTCGCTTTTTAAGGGACCTTCCTGTACAATAACTTCATCTGTCTTAACATTTTGTGGTTGCGTCATAATTTCTTTACTGGACACAAAATCACCTCATGCTAATTTCCGAACTCTTGTGGATATTTATAATGTGCAATTTCATTTCCTGACCCCTTTAAAGGGGGGTTTAGTCAAACAGGAAAGATTTACCTAGACATGGGGAGGGGGGGATCTGAAAATATGTTCGCCAAGAATTACACGTTCTACAGTCTGCACTAAAAAAAAAATTATGGTTCCAAATTAGCAGCAAGAAATTTGATGCCAAAAAATTCAATTTAATCAACCATTTCATTAAATATGATCAGGTAATGTTGATTTAAAATTGAAAAATAAAGCCAGACGACCTCGGTGAGGATCGAACTCACGATCTTGAGATTAACAGTCTCACGCCTTAACCAGCTTGGCCACGAAGTCGTATTTGATGGTGCTTGAAATTTCTGGCATTAAGATAATTGGTAGAAACTCTAATTTTCCCATTTTTAAAAGTGGTCTTTGAGAACGATGAGAATAGCTATACCCTTCTCTGGATGTCTCAAATGTCTTCGGGAAGTGCGGTCATCCTTTCTATTGTTTCAGCTTTGTGTCACGTAGGCTGTCTGGTGTGCGCAGATGGACAATAGACCAATCAGTGGCTATTGTGTATCTTTTTTCAAGTATATTAAGGAAAAACAAATAAAATCATCCTAATTGCCTCTGGCAATGAATAGCATAGTATTCTGGTATACTGTAGCGATTTTGCGAACATTGTACCTCTTTTAATAGTGCCGTTGTTTCTTGTTTTGGCTGAATTTTGCTTGAATTAAATTCTCAAAAAATTGGTTGCAAATTCCCAGAAAAAAACTCTCCGGTTAACTGAGAAAAAGATGCCTTGGCAATATATTTCAATTTTATTATATACAGTGCTATATATTTTGATATATCAAATATCTACATATACTTTCTTCTTAGATGTTAATCTACCAACAGGCAACATACTAACATCACTAGAACTCAACCACATTGGTTGTTTCTTCACCCCATTAAAATTAAACAATTGTAACTTCAACTTCTCAAAATATTCATCCATTTCTATTTCAAAACTCAACTCTTCTAATTGAGTATATCTCAAATATCTCGAAACCCCATCATCAAAACAAGGATCACTAATTAATTGTCTTCCATCATCCCGTTCTGGGATCAAAAATAATTTTTTGGATTTTTTGTTATATTTGATTGTCCCATGTTGCCAGATTAATTTTGCATTCGGACAGGAATGATTTCGATTATTTCCTTCAATGATATAGGCGGCAGATTCCCAATGTCCGGTGATGTTGAAGGAATACGAAAGACCAGGGAGGAGTGGTTCATAGAGGATTTCTTCTGTTGGGTTGAAGAATGTGGGTCCGGTGGTGACTTTTCCGCTTTGGCTTTTCCAAGTGCCTTGAAGTTGTTCTAAGACTGCTTGAGTCTCTTTATCGAACTTCTTACAGGTTGCTAAACCGGATAGTAGGAGAAATGGTATGAATGATAGCCAGATCATTTTGAATTTTTGGAATTGGGCTTATTAATAGAGAATAGGTTTTTTCATAACAAAATTATTCAATTATGAAGGTTGGTTGTATTGATAGTTGGTATATCTTATTCTTTCCTTGAACGTATACAGTTGCATTTTTAATTTTAATTAATTATAATATTTATAATTAGCTCTATATAACTTTAAAGTAAATCACGAAATAAACAAACCATGTAAAGAAAATAATATCTACCTATTCAAAACGAGAATCAAAACAATGAATAAACCAAACGGCAGCAGTATGCATGAGATCCAATAACGAGAAGAACCTAAATCCTCCTCCTTGTTAACAGAAGCTCTCTCTCTCAAGAAAAATCCTTATTCGAATTTACAATCAATAGGATATTTCAAGTTTCCATTTGAATCCCAAACACCCCAATGTTTTTCAACATCAGAAGTACCAGAAGTATTTGGTTTCCAAGCTTCATCAAGAGCTTCGAAAACAGCCACATTAATACCCCAAGCTCTCATTGCACAAATAGCTTGTTGCCAATAATTCTTTGCATTAGTGACACTAGGTTGAGCATCATCAAAATGAGTACCTTCAGTTGGCCAACCAGTTTCACCCACCCAGAATTCGATATCAGTTGAACCCTTGGTAGTTTGAATGACTTGTAATGCTTGCATGATATCATCAAAGAAGGAATAAGATGCATTTTGATTGGTTTGTCCTTGCCAATAAGAAAAGGCATTTGCATAGACGAAATCTGCTCCTTGAATTGCTGGTTGGGAAGCTCCGTCAACTAAAACATTCCAAGAATCAACAGTTCCAACTGGAATACCACCAAATGATTTTCCATCTTTATCGTTGATAGTGCCAACTAATTGTTTAATAGTAGCAATCTTTTCAGCTAATTCAGTAGCGGTTAAATCTCCTCTGTATAAAGCTTCAGAACCAACTAAAAAGACTTTAATGGTTGAGACGGAAATTGTTGGTAAATAAGTCTTAAGGGCGTTGATTTCAGCTTGGAAGTGGGCGTCATCGGTTGGCCAAATACCAAGCATTAATTGGAATCCTTCAGCATCGGCGGCTGGACCTAAGTTTTGTAAAGTGTTACAATCAGAAACAGCATAAGTTTTGACGATGTTGGTGTATGATTTTAATAATTCTAAATCAGATTCGAATTCAGCAACGGTTTTACATTGACCAGAGTTATCTTGGACACCTAAGTTGAAAGCAAGCTATATTAAAAAAAGTGTTAGTAACGATGGTATTCACACACATTGATTTAACCACGGAACGAAAAATTGTGCGAGCCAAAAAGATTAATGGTTGGTCTCTTGATTTCGGTGGTTATATTGAGGACTCCTCGAGGGGATGATGATGATATACATACGCCTCCCATGGCAGCTGCTGAAGCTAAGGTAGCAGCAAGTGTAGTTAAGAATTTAATTTGCATGTTTGATGTTGTTGTTGATATTTATGACGATTTGACGATGATGCTGATTTGAAAAATATGAGTTCTTTTCTCCAGAATGAATATATTTATATATGGATTCTAAAAGAGAATATTACAGGGGAAAAGGGATGATAAGATCAAAATGAAGTGATAATTCGTCGTCTTCTTTTTAAAAAGGAAAATGGGAGAAAAAGAAAAAGGATGTGGAAAGAGGAAAAGCTATAAATAAATATTATTTATCATGAGAGAAGTGTCTCTGAAATGAAACAATGGGAAAAAAAGATCCAAATGAAATTTTATGAGCGTTTATGCATACATAAAAGTACACGACCACTTTTTTGGTTCGAGAGAATTATTTTTAGAATCAAAAAAAAGAAAAGATCAACCGAAAAAGCGACAGAGAAAAAAATACGCCCAATCTTACATGATGATTTCCTATTTGGTACAAGGGCAAATATTTTACAGTTTATGCATTAACTATATATTTTTTTTACATGTTACACCCAGATTCTAGAACATGGTTCTATAACATCAATTTAGTTAATCCAATTAATACCCCATCTTCAATTCTAACACCTTTAGGTATATCCAACTTCCCGTCAAACATTTGACCAACAGATTCAACACCTTCAAGATTTGCCTTATCAAGTTCAAAACATGCTTGTAAATCCTTATAATTCCCCAAAACCATCAATATATTCTGCGGTTCACTGTCGTCTTCTTCTCCGGCAGCTTGCTTTGGTTTAGAATATACTGGCACGTTATTTAAATCTTCAATCTTGTCATTACTTTGGAAATAATCATCACAATTGATATACACACTTGAAGAATATCCCTGAGGAATTGGACATTGAGTGAATAGTTTACTAAATTGCTTAACTAATCTAACATGATATCCAAATGCTCCTTTATGACCAACAATTCCATATGCTTGAAATGGAGATATGATTGTTTTATTTTTGATATCGACCGTTACCCTTGAATAGATTGGGATTTCTCGTTTGATATTTAATTCCAATGCGGTTGATTCTCCAATATTGACATATTTACTGATGGTAATTTTATGATTTGCTTTTACTTTCTTGACATGGTTTTTCTTTTTGATTTTAGGAGTTTCACGAGGAATTATTATCCCTTCTTTATAATCTTTGTAGACATTGTTATTATTCATGAATGGTAATGTGGTGATTTTGGGTAATTTAAATGCATATTTGAATTTTGGTAAGATGTTTTTAAATTTTGAATTTAAATTGGGAGAAAACATAGTCTTGACTAAATATGGTGGTGTAATAAAGAATTGTAACAAACTTGCCAATATCAATGACCTATCCTCTTCTTCTTCATTCTTCTTATTCTCTACAGGCACAACCTTCTTCTCTTCGGGTTTTCCCAATTCCTCATCATCGAAATTAAACTTCAACTTCTTCCCACCTTTGTCACTCACACCCACACTCACTACCACATCAGCCTCACTCTCGTGTTTCTTAGGCTGTGGCTCAGGAATATCAACAATCACAATCTCGACAACATTATATATCGTAGCGGCTTTGGCAATCAGATAGGCAATATTGGTGATTTGTTGCAAGTTATAGGCATTTTTCGATGAGATGACCGTGGATGGAATACAGATTGATATTTTTGTTTCTGGCGTTGATTTGGTTGGCTTTTTTGTGGATACTATTGTATCCTGTTCGGTGTTCTTTCTCTTTGCCATTGCTTATTGGAGATGGGGCTGGTTGATTGGGGGATGGATGAAGAGATTGATGGTGAAAAATTGATAATTATCTCATCGGAACATTTTTTTTCTGACCAGTTAATAGTCGCGACAGAGCAGGGAAGGAGACTGAGAAAATGGGTTGCAAAATTCTTTTACAAATAAACGATGCAATTATATATAACAGTAAATGATGTCTATTTAGAATATTTAAAATTTAAGTTCATGTATATAAGGAGCGGGAGGGGAGGGTGGGAGCGGGGTGCAGACAGGATTCGAAAAGCAGACTAACTTACAGAAAGACAAACCAACAGATTCACAACTAACATAAAGATTAGTTTAAGCATCAGTAGTTTCTTCTTCTTCAGCAACAACAGCATCAGCAGCAGCTTCTTGTTCTTCAGCAGCATCTTCTTCAGCTTCTAATTTGGCAATTCTAGCTTTGGCCTTTTCGATATTAATCTTAGTTTGTTCAGCTTGTTTTTCTTCAAGAGCAACCAAAGTTTCCTTCAAGATTTTGACAGTACCTTCAACTTCTTCTTCCTTGGTTGGGAATGGGATAGATAAATCACTTAAAGAAACAACAACATCTGGAGCAACAGTGAAGTTCTTAGATTTCTTCTTGTGTTGTTTAGATTTTTTAGATTTAGATCCAGCAAAGAAACTTTCTTGTTCCTTTTTCAAAACAACGAAATCTTCTGGGAATTCAACCTTTCTGGCATTTTCACTAGAAGTGGTGGCGGTAGAAGCACCATTGGTTGAATAACCCTTTGGAGCAGGTTTGACATAAGATGGGTCAAAGTAACTTAACAAGTTATGAATGGAGTTGATTTCTTCAGTGAAAGCAGGAATAGAAGCTTCAGCTAATTGTTTTTCAGCTTGTTCTTTTCTTCTTTGTTGTTTTTCATCTACCAATCTTTGTTTATATTCTTCATCACGTTTCTTCTTTTCTTCAGTTAATTGTTGTTTGAAATTAGCGAATTTTTCATCGAAATCAGCCCTTAATTTTCTAATTTGATCATATTTTTCATCCTTTTGTTTCTTGATTTCAGATCTCTTGTCATATAATTCATTTCTCTTTGAGATGATAGATTTATTAGAATCATTGATTTCATCTAATTCCTTTTGAATAGATTCAAATTGAGCTTGAAGTTCTTTATTTTGAATACCAGCTAATTTTTTCTTTAAATCAGCAATTTTAGTTTTATCTTGATCAATTAATTCTTGAGTTTTTTCAATTCCACCAAAATCTTTACGTAATTTACGTAAAGAAGACATTTCTTTAACAAAACGTCTTTCATCAGCTAATTTCAAATTACCAGCATCAATTAAGCCATCCAAATAATTAATTCTTGCATCAATTTCTCCAACATTTTTAAAATTGTTTTTAGAAGTTTGAGTTTGAATTTCAGCAATTCTTTTTTTCAATTGAGAATCAATTGATTTGATTTGATCATTGATAGCATTACGTTCATTCTTAACTGCAGATTGTTTAGAAATCAAATCTTTAAGATCTTGTTGTAATTGATTTCTTTTATCCATAACTTTTTGATCAATTTGAGATTTAGAAATTTGAACATTAAGTTCTTGATTTTGTAAATCTAATTTCTTAATTTCATTCTTTAAAGATTCAACTTCTTCCTTTAAAGCTTTGTCATCTGGACGTTTAATAAATCTCTTTGGAGCAAAAGACGAAGATTTAGCAGTGGATGGGGCAGTGGAAGAAGCAGAAGAATTGGCAGTAGCAGTAGCGGACATGATTATTTAATAGGACAGTATACCACAATGGGAAAGGAAACAGGAGCAAAAATACACGAATATAAAAACTTTAGAAGTTCTGGTTGGGGATGTTATAGAAGCTGAATAATTGTTAGTTAGTTAGCTTTTGGTGGGAAGTAGTTTGTTACTAAATAAGATCCCAAAAAAAGTGATAAAAATTTTCTAAATTGATTTCCAATTAATTTTTCACAGTATGAGAAATTAAAGTGTGGAAAAAATGTGTCGAACAATACAAAGTATACTACTCTCCGTACTAATTAAAATGGTGGAAGCGAAAAATTTTAAATTTATTTGAACAACGCAACAAATTAAATAATTTTTCATTATGTTCATTGGATTCTCTTAAATTCTTTTCCATTCTTAACGTTTTCTTATACTTACAGTACTTGTTAAATAGATTAAAATGTGTCTCAGTAGAAAAAATGTTAAATTAAAGAAGGTAGTGTACTTTGGATGAAAAATGCGTTTTTAGATATTTTTATACGAGAGACACTACTACTCTACAGATTTAATCTCCACCATTTAATTTTAATCTCCCGGGTGATATCGTTTATGCTTAGATTGTAGTAACTTACAGTCTTCTTAACTAACAATTGTTTATTATTCCATAGAAAACAATAAGCCTTGTATAGGCTAATCATCCTATTGTAACTATGTGGTAATTTTAATTAAGTTTACTTTGAAGTTTATTAATTTCATTATGTCTTGTTGCAATTTCTCTGATTCTCTCTTGTCAATTTTTCTCTGTTTAATTTCTTTTGCTCGTAAAAAAAAACTCAAATCAAAATTTTTCTAAGAATTTTTGTAAACAAAAAATTCTCTCTTTCTTTTTCTTTCTTAAACAACTAAAGACTCCCCCCTTGGTTTCTTCCAATTCTCATCTCATCTACTGGTCATCCTGCTATTTCTATCGTTAAGTTTCCATTTAACTTCCCATAGCTTTCAAACTTTTTCCTTATAATAAACTACAAACACCAGGTTTTAGACAAAACTACTACACTTCTAGAGATAAGCATTTTTTTTTTTACTTCAATTTTATACGACCACCAAAAATGTCATCAGAATACGCCCAATTAGTTGCCAGTCTTTCATCACAAGACATCTTAAACAAATGGCCAGAAATTACTCCATTAAAGAAAATCTCCGGTATCCCAAGATCAGCTGGATCAGAAACTTCTTCCGGTTCAAGTGATTCTGATTTATTTAATGGTCACGATGAAGAACAAATTAGATTAATGGAAGAATTATGTATTGTTTTAGATAATAATGATATACCTTTAGGTGCAGGAACCAAGAAATTATGTCATATTATGGATAATATTAATGGTGGATTATTACATCGTGCCTTTTCAGTATTTTTATTTAATGAAGATGGAAAATTATTATTACAACAAAGAGCTGATGAAAAAATTACTTTCCCAGCTATGTGGACAAACACTTGTTGTTCTCATCCTTTATGTGTCCCATCTGAATTAGGTGTTGATTCTAATTCTGAAGGTGGTGATGTTAAAAAATTAACTAATGCAGTTGCTGGAGCCAAGAATGCTGCACAAAGAAAATTAGAACATGAATTGGGTATTCCTTATAAAGATACTCCTTTAGAAAATTTCACTTATTTAACTAGAATTCATTATAAATCTGCTAGTGGAGATGAAAGTTCAAAATGGGGTGAACATGAAATAGATTATATTTTGATTTTAAAAACTAAGAATGATATTACTATTGATGCTAATTATAATGAAGTTAAAGATTATAAATACGTCGATGCTGACGCATTAAAAGAAATGTTTGAAGATAAATCTTTAGTTTTCACTCCTTGGTTTAAATTGATTTGTCAAACTTTCTTATTTAAATGGTGGAATAATTTAGATAATTTACAACAATTCCAAGATGAAGAAATTCATCGTTTACTTTAGAGATTTCATTTCAAAACAAAATGCTTTATGCTTTAGCAAAAAGGGACTTTCTTAGAGGAAAACAAATAAAGCACGGGATAAATTATTTCAAATAAACTATTTAAATGTTTTTCGAATTAATTTCAAAGAACTTTCTGTGTTAAGTTTTAAGAATTATTTCAAAGAGACTTTTAATAGTTTTTTAGTTTTGATTTTTTACGCGTTGTTTTGTGTATATAATATATAATAATAATAATAAAATTAATCATAATAATAATAAATTGCAACTCAAGGATAGTTTACTTTGGGACTGGATAGATTAAAGTTTTGACTTTTTCCTCTCTTTTTTTTGCAGCCAAAATATATCAATAACCATTGTTCTCAGATGACTTATAAAAAGCTTGAGATACAAAAAAACAACACTTCTTTAGTTTTATCACAGCCAGGATGAGATATAAATACCTGATCTGTAACAACTATTTAGCTGTTGAATTGATCTGACAATCACTCTTGAATCCTTCTATTTTCAACACTAATGCGACTTAGAAGAGAGTATGAATCATAAACATTTATCACAATAACCTAGTGAACATTCTAACAGATTGTAAATAAGCCCACAGGAATGGAAAAGATTACCGGTCACACGATCTGTTATTCAACCAGTGCCAATTGATTAAAAGGATTTACGATTCGCTCACAGTTCCAAAAAATAATGGCTTGGACAATAGCCTGGAGGAGCATAATATTATTTTTTACTTATTCTACGTACAAAGACTACAAATAGAATACCAAATTAACATGTGAAGGGAAATTTACAATTACTCGTAATTTTAAAAGGGAAGTGTTCAAATCTTTGGCTCATCGAAGAATGATGCATTTTAATGATTGCAAATCTTTACTGGTGTTAATGTAAGCACTACGCGAATCAGTTCAAATTTTACCTTATTTTTTGTACGGTAATAGAAAGCAAATATTTAGATAATAAATAATACGCAAATGTCATTCGAAAACCTCAAACCATTTTGAGAAATGACGTATAAAGTATCAAATGGCCGTATCTATGCATTATTTTGCAATAGAATATTTTACGCTTCCATTATTTTCGTTTTTTGATTTCAGGAGACGGAAATTTGTAAATAATTTTCATATTTTTAGAGCAAATTCATGGCTTTGACGTTTTCGCAATCATATAGACTCAGGATAGACTTATTCCGTATCGAATGTGCTGATAGTCAGTAGTCAAAAGTGAGCCACGGTGAGTTTGTTGTGTTCCTAATTGTTCGGCGGTTCCGGGTCAATACAATTTAAATTATTGATGTATACAAGAGATCGACATGCATGATAGGGTCAGGAAAAATAAATCCCAAATAATAATTCTGAAGTGAAGTATTTTTTTTTTCTTCCAAAATATTTTTTTTGCAACAATTAAAAGCATGCAGCACTACATTCTTCTACAACATAGGAACAAGATACGGCTTTGGGTCTTTAACAAAACAAAGGTCATACATCATTAAAGATTCAACATGGCTTTTATGATTGCTATTCTTAGAATCATTATATGTATCGCTGGCCACATGATCCATAACTTGTCACATATCCATGCCCACTCCTATTTGTTTCATTCACGGAGTGTTGATACACGAGAGACCTTTCTAACTAATCACCATTCCTAGTAGGCGAGAAATCATTTAGTTCTCAGTCAGCATTACCAACTGAACACGCAGGTAAGGAAACAAACAAAATTTGTTAAAAGACTATTCCTCGAAGAAGTTCGATGATGATGTAATGGATGACCCCAACCAAGCGAGCCAGCAAATTAAAAAATATCCCTCGGAAAAACAATGTTGGCTTAGATCCGAAACTGTCTATAAATGACCAAGGATATGCCGGTTAATTCTTTATTCGTCACACTTTATTTTTCTTATGACAGGACCCCACGGAAGCGGAATATTTTTAAGAGATGATCCGAATTCTCTTGAAAATACTGACATGATGAAGTTCAATAAGTTCGACCTTGTTTTACCAATAAGAAGCTCAGTGAAAATAAGGTAAATAATAGCATGAAGACTACAGCTTTGGAGCATAGTGTTTATTCAGTCACAACACGCTAAAGACAGAAGTGTTATATATCTGTGTTCTTGAAATCATCCCGTGAACATTATTATTTAAACGAAACTATTTAAATTCAAGTGCTTTGCATTTCGTATTGCAAGGAATAAAAAGTATAGTTTATCGAAAATAATTCCGGCTTCCCAAAAAAATAAAAGTTAAAAAATAATCTAAATTTAATTTGTTGTGGCAAGTGTCCAAACAAAGTGGCGCATGAGAACCGAATACAGAACACATGTAATGAGATCAACGCAGGTATGCGTTCTTTCAAGATGAGCTTCTTTCATGGTTAGACTTCATTTACAAACCAGACAACTAAACAAACTATGCTCGCAGTTACTATTGAGAAGAGAGATTTTCCAAGCATCTTTGAGTCTCTGGGTAACTATTGTCCACATCTGGATTATCCTTAATTTTCTCTTAATGAGTCAAGTAGTATTCACAGGTTGCAATGACACAAGGCAAAAAAAATACATACGCATAATCATATCAACAAGAAAAGAAGATGACATTGGAATATTTTGCAATTCAAGAATTTTACTTGAAAATCTATGTTTGAAGAATTTATTTTTTCTCGGAAAATTATTATCTTATTATTTTTTGCAACAATTTACGCGGACGTCATTATCTCAACGCACGAATAATAATAATATATGGATATAGCATCAATAAAGAGAGCAGATCATCCATCCATCACGAAATGATCGTATGACTTCTCTTGCAACTTATTATAAATACATCTGAATACTACAAGTTTGCTAAATTTTTACAATTAATTCATATTACTTCAAGACCCAGCAACAAACCTCAAAATGTTTAGCTATTTACTTTTATTATTACCACTACTATTAGTCGATTCAATTTCGAATTGCATCGACGTTCCCGGTGAACTTATTCTCAGAGGAGATCCCCAAAATGGCGAGGACTACACGGTTTCAGGTACATTGTCCATTGTTGATGTTTATCAAAGAGAAATTAACCTTGGAGATATTGCTATTGGTGAAGAGGGACAATTCTTCTTTACTACCACATTTCCTGACTACAAATATGATGTTTTTGAATTACAATTTCAAACTATTGAAAACCTTGGAACTTCCCGCTTAGACTTCAGTAATTATGAGCTCTGGGATATGTCTATTAAAAGCATAAATAACTTTGGTGATATGGCGCTTTCCAATAATGGAATGGCAAATTGCAATATAGAACTGTTAGTGAATTTCAACGAAGGACGTATATTTCTTGAAAATAATAAATATTGGAGTTACCAATATGTAAATGTCCATTCTTTTGAAAACGAAGGGGAAATCTGTCTTGGACCAGACATTTGGTTAAATGTCTATGAGCAACATCCCAAAACTGGACCAAACGGATGCTTTAGTATTTCTCTGGGAAGCGTTATTGAGATCCCAGGAGAGCTGCTTTCAACCTTCTGCTATCCACTGGAGGGCAATAATAATGTAGAAATTCGGTTTTCTTCGCCCCCTTCCCATCCTATTAAAGTGGCACAGTTTGGTGGAACACAAAATTATTTGAATACATTACGTTTAGAAGAATCAACACTCAGCTACAAAGCACCATATTTAAATGTTGTGGATTTTAATCTTAAAAGCTTTACCTTTGACATAGGATACGGATATCTTGAGGATAAATTTAAGAAGGAGAAGTTTTCTGGATCAACTTTCATTAGATATATGGATCCTGTACCAGATGGGGCTAATGACTGCACCTGCAAATGTGAGTTCACAAGTTATACTGTGCCTGGTGCCCTACCCACAATTTCAACTCAGACATCGTCTAGTCGTACTCGGACACTTACAATTACCACCTCTGATAATCGTTGGACAACAATCGTTGACCCAGATCCGTCAGAAACAGAAGTAACTACTACAGATGTAGAGGAATCAAGTACTATTGAATATGAATCGACTGAATCAGTTCCAGAATCCACTTCTGAACCAGAACAGACGACTTCGGAATTCGAATCTACTTCAGAAATAGAATCTACTACTTCAGAAATAGAATCAACTACGTCAGAAGAAGAATCAACTACTTCAGAAGAAGAATCTAGTACTTCAGAAATAGAATCTACTACTTCAGAAATAGAATCAACTACGTCAGAAGAAGAATCAACTACTTCAGAAGAAGAATCTAGTACTTCAGAAATAGAATCTACTACTTCAGAAATAGAATCAACTACGTCAGAAGAAGAATCAACTACGTCCAATGCCGAGTCGCTTACTTCAGAAGAAGAAACAACTACGTCAGAACCGGAACCAGAGACATCCGAACCAGAATCAACCACATCCGATGCCGAATCAACTACGTCCGATGCCGAGTCATCAACTTCAGAAGAAGAGTCGTTTACTTCAGAAACAGAGTCCACCACTTCCGAATCCGAGTCAACTACTTCAGAAGTGGAATCAACTACTTCAGAAATAGAATCAACTACGCCACAAGAAGAAACAACTACTTCGGAATTCGAATGTAGTTCAGAAGAAGAATCAGCTACTTCAGAACCAGAGCCAGAGACTTCCGAACCTGAATCAACTACGTCCAATGCCGAGTCTCTTACTTCAGAAGAAGAACCAACTACGTCAGAACCGGAACCAGAGACATCCGAACCAGAATCAACTACATCGGTAGAAGAATCAGCTACATCAGAAAACGAATCCACTACTTCAGAAATAGAATCAACTACTTCAGAAGAAGAATCAACTACTTCGGAATTCGAATCTACTTCAGAAGAAGAATCAGCTACTTCCGAACCCGAGTCAATTACTTCAGAAGAAGAATCCATTACTTCAGAAACGGAACCCACTACTTCCGAACCTGAGTCAACTACTTCAGAGGCAGAATCAACTAGTCCAGATGCAGAATCAAGTACATTGGAACCACTATCAACACCAGAAACCGAAGAGACTTCAGGTGCAACATCCGAACCCTCAACGAATCCCGAACCTCCTCAATCAACCAACTCTCCCACAGACTCGGAACCAAGCTCTAGCCTGTTTGCAGAAGACTCATCGTTCACAGATCCAATGACAACTAGTTTGGAGTCAGGAATCAGTAGTGATAATGAATCAACTAATCCGGTATACTCTATTACAACCGACCCAGACCCAATTGAATCTGAATCAGCATCAGATCCAGGTATGATTAGTAGTGTTGAAACACAGAGCATATCCGACCACTCGAATGCTAGTAGTTTATCTGAACCCTCAACCACTCCTTCCACGGTCACAACAAGCACTGCTACTTCTGATACAACCGTGACAACCACCATTGTAACGACAAGTTCAATAACTAAATCTACATTGTCTACTTTAACTGTCACAACGACCAGCCAAACTGTAACAACTATTTCGTCAGTTATAACTGTAACCACAGGTTCTGTAAGTTACAGTACCGGGACTGTTACAATTGTTCCAACCGTCATCACCAAAACTATTATCGTCACTACAAGGGTTCCAATTACCACAGCCGTTACTACTATGACCACCGTTGTTACCACTAAAGAAAGTGGAAGTGAAATGCCAACTGTAGTAACCAAGACCACTGGTGACGCTAGCATTACACCTTCTGACGTTTCAAACAGTCCTTCGGGATCAGGTACACAAAGTCCACTTCCAACACTGCAAGCTACAGCTTCACCTATTGAAGGTTCTGGTCCTAGAGTTCTTAGTCAAGGATTGTTACTGTCTGGAGTGGTGATTGTTTTGTTTGGTATTCTCATGTAATTTAATTAGCATGATTGATTCAGTCTTTCATCACAAGACATTTTAGTCAAAGTGCCAGAAATTCCTCCACTTCAGGTGGTTCTGATTTATTCAATGGCCAGAAGTTTGTGTTTTCAAGCCGCAGATTATTTTTATTAAAATAAAATTAAATATTTCTATACATAATTAAATAATAAAAGCCGTTCCTATGGAAAAAGTACAAGAGCAAAGCCTTAAAAATCTTTGACTTGATTGAACGTTGAGGTGTGAACATAAGTTTTATAGTACTGAATCCATCTTTTCAACTCTTCTTCAGAGGGTGGTACCCTCAGTCTATACCCATTGGACTTTTCTATAGTATTGGGTGTCTTTTGTGAAGCCGTCGCTGGATATCGTCCGATCTTGGGATAGTTTAGGGTTACAAAGTATGTTTCTCAACTTTGGGGTTAATAATTTTGCTCCAATGTCTTTGCCATATTTGCTTCGCTGTGGGACATAAGGTCAGCTTGTGATTCACAAAATTGATCCCTTTAATCAAATGACCACATAGCTCACAGAGTATATCTCCAAGATTATATCGTCCCATGGCCGGGCCAAAATTCAATCGTTAGATTGCCTCTAGGTGTTTCACTCTTGCACGAGAGAAAAGAAATAGCAAACTTTTCAGAGGTTAAAAGAGAAGTTTAATAATAGAGAACCATTTGATCCAGGTTGGCCATATGCTTGAAGTTTTGGACAAGGTATGTCCCCGAAAATCCTACTCTGCCGTCCCATCGTGGGATGGCTGGGAAGGATTCAGGAAGAAGAAAAATTTTCTTCATGGAATGTAGGTAAGGGGGGACGGCGTGGAATAATCTCTATGTTTAGGTCTTTAATTTTAGCTTTGAATATGATTATCATAGTTGTACATTATTCCAACCAAGCAAGGTCAACGAACACTCCTACATAATATGGCCACATGTGGGAGTTGCAAGCATTCGAAAACTTTCGAAATAATCACCGTTCCAGAAGAACCTCTATGAGGGAGAAAACCTTTACTTCTCAAGCCGCATTAGCAACTAATTACGTACGCAAGAAAGCAAACCTCGAAGACGTTCAATGATGTAATTTTTGTAAATGGAAATTGATGACCCACGACAAGCGAATGAATAAAATTTGTTAAAAAATATTCCTCGAAGAATTTCCATTATTGACCGTATATTGACAATGAATGACCAAGGAAATTTCGGCTATTCTTTTTTTGTCACACGTTATTCTTCTTATAGTAGACTCTACGGAAGCGGAATATATTCAAATAAGGAAGGGAATTCTCCACAAAATAATCTCTCACCGAAGTTCAATAAACATGACAAAAAACGTCCGTGGATTACCAGCAAGAATAAAATCTAGGTAAATACACATCACGAACACATCCCAGGAGTATATAGTTTGTCCATTAGCAACAAGCCAAGAGCAGAAGTATTTCTTTGGAGTTATTTAAACTAGTCTGAAAACACTGTTATGTAACCGGAGCTATTTATAATTAAGTGTCTTGTTGTTCTATTTCCAAAAATAAAAGTTATTAAAAATAATCTGTTGCAAATTTCTGTTTTTCCAAAAAAATAAAAGGTAAAAAATATTCTAAATTTAATTTATTCCGGCAGATTTCGGGACAATGGGGCTACCGGATAATCTAAACCAGAAAACTAACTAAACTATTGAGAGGCGGGATTTTCAAAGCATCTTTGAGTCTCTGAACAACAACCCTCATCTAGATTATCGTTAATTCCGTTAACTAGCCTAGATGTATTCATAGGTTGTGATGACGCAAGATATAAGAGTACATGCACTTCAGAATATCCACAATAAAGGAATATTTTGCGATTAAAAAATTCCCTTGAAAGGCTTTTTTTGAAAAATGATTTCTTTTTGTAAATTATTTTCTTATTTCCCTTTGCAAGAAATTAGGCGAACTTTACTATTTCGTTACAATAATTGAAACCCCATGCATAATAATATCCGGATATGGTATTAGTTGAGAGAAAGGTTATCTATCCTTCCCGAGATGAGCATATGATTTCTTTTGTAAAATAGTATAAATAGGTCGGAATACTAAGAGTTTGTTAACTTTTTACAATTACTTCATTTTCTTTCAAGACCCAACTACAAAAAACTATACTCAGAATGGTTAACAATTTACTTTTATTATTATCACTACTATTATTCACTTCATTTTCAAATTGCATCGAAGTTTCCGAAGAACTTATTCTCAGGGGAGAGCCCCCACAACAAGGAGGTAACTATTCCATTTCAGGTACATTTTCCATTGTTGATGCTTATGTATCGAAATTTCAGCTTGGAGATATTGATGTTGCTGAAGAGGGAAAATTCTTCTTTTCTGCCACATCTATGTATTCTTGCTTCCATTTTCACATTTTTGAAGTACGTTTTCAAAGTTTTGAGAACCATGGAACTACCCGCTTAGATTTCACTAATTACGACACCTGGGGAATTTCTTATGAAAACGTAAGTAACTTTGGTGATATGGCGCTTTCCAATGCTGTAAAGGCGAATTGCAAAATCGAACTGTTGGTGAACGAAGGTCGTCTATTTCTTAAGAATGTTGTAAATGTGAATGCCGCTTCTTTTGAAAACAATGGGGAAATTTGTCTTGGAGCCAGAAGCTGGTTAAATATCTATGACAAACATCCAAAAAGTGGACCAAACGGATGCATTAGTTTGGCCCCGGGAGGCACTGTTGAAATTATAGAAGATTTGCTGTCAAGCTTTTGTTTTCAAGGTGACGGGGCCGATGCAGTAATGCGGTTTCAGATACTCAAAAACAATCCAGATTCTATTAAAGTGGCACAGTTCGGTGGAGAACATAATTTCTTAAACTCTCGCAATTTAATAGACCCAACACTCACATACAGAGCACCATATTTATATGCTATGGAGGCGTTTAGAAAGTATACCTTTGACATTGGATTCGGATATGATGAGAAAAAATTTAGGAAAGACAGGGGACTGGGATCAGTTTCGATTAGCTACATGGATCCTGTTCCAGATGGGGCTAATAAATGTCCCTGCAAATGCGAGTTCACAAGTTATACTGTGCCTGGTACCTTACCCACAATTTCAACTCAGACATCGTCTGGTCGTACTCGGACACTTACAATTACTTTTATTGGCAATAATTGGACCACAATTGTTGATCCGGATCCTACTTCAAAAGCAGAGTTAACTACCTCAGAACCTAAGACGACTACGTCAGAAGAAGAATCCACTATCGAACCGGATTCAGCTGCTTCTGAAATAAAGCCCACTTTGGAACCGAGACAACTCCACAAACAGCCTTCAGAAACCGAATCCGCTTCTCTAGAACTAGAATCTAGAGCATCAAACTATACTGAACCATCCTTAACGTCAGAAACCGAAGAGACTTCAGGTGCAACATCCGAAGCTGTAACAACTATTTCATCTGTTATAACTGCACCCACAGGAACTGGACGTTGCATTACTGGAACGGTTACAGTCAGTCCAATCATCATTACTGAAACTATTCTCGTCTCTACAGATGTTCCAATCGACACAACAGTTGCAATTATAACAAGAACAGTGATCGCTACATATCCTGAACCTGTCATATCGACTATGATAACTAGGAAAGTTGCTCCAACCTCCACTCGTGAAACTCGCGGTATATCATCTGACGTTTCAGACAGCGTGTCGGGATCAGGTACTCAAAGTTCACTTTCAACACTTGATGCGATCGTTCTAACTGCTGAAGGCTCAGGTTCGCGAGTTCTTAGTCAGAGGTTATTGCTGTCTGGCGTGGCGGTTCTTTTGTTTGGTATTTTAATATAATTTGATTAGAAGATTGTGTTTATGAAAATTGATTGCGTATAGATTATTTTTAATATCTAATATTAGACTCTATTTATTATGAATTTATTTACTTAAAGCTGTAGATCTCAGAAACTGGAGGTCCTCTTTATCTTTGGTGATGAGTGTCTTACCACTTCAGCGATTTCCAACTCTGGCACAATAAAATGCTCTATTGGGAGAATTAAAGTTGAGATGTTTGTCAGAGTTTTAGATGCGAAGTTGTCAAACCAAGAGAGACAGAGAGAGAGAAGGCACTGCATAAAGTTGATGATCACTTCTGTTTTCTTTAAGTAAGCTTATTGCATTGTTTGTTATACATGGAAGCAAACTCCAAACCTAAACTCAAACATTACTGATGATACCTAAGATTTGAGACGAGAGAGGCGTTTGCAGCCGAATTTCCAATCTTAAAGTGTGGAACTTAAAGATGCAATCCATGGAAAAATCCGACTACTCCTGCGTACCGTAAGTATACGATAGTGTGGATGCCATCCCCTTGTTTTGAAAGCAACAATGTATTTGTGGTAACAGAGAAATATAATTCTGGTGAATAAAAAGTGGAGTTGGAAAAGAAGTCAATATTTTCTCATTTCCCGGGTCAAATTTGAAATCAACTCTACATCTGTGGTGGATTTTTTGTATGGCGTTTTGTTGAGAAGAAATTATTTTTTAAACGAGTGAATGTTCGGCAGCTATCTTCCGATGATGATGAATAGAAACCAAAAGGAAAAAAAGAATTAAAATTTCAATTACAAATAAAAACCGTTGTTGAGTTGTAAAAGATATAAAACTGTTTGCTCCCCCTCGTAACATTCTATTTAAGTTTTTTTATTTAAACAAGTATATCCCAGTTATTCCCGTGTATATAATTACTAGTATGATATCCAGACAATCAAGTATACTATTACTCCAGAGAAATGCATTTAAAATAACCAGAACATTAGCAACTGCACAAAGCACAACACCAACAGACCAAACCACTAAAAAGATACCCAAAAGAAAAAAAACAGTATTCAGTGATGCCTTAAACAAAGGTCCCTCTTTTGACGATTTCGTAAGTGGTAAAGCACAGGATATTCTTGATCCTTTAGAAGCAGCCCGAAAAGATCCAAATCAAAGATTACCTTCTTGGTTAAAAGTGCCCATCCCTAAAGGGAAATCATTCCATAATGTGAAAAATGACGTTCGTGAATTAAAATTGGCTACTGTTTGTGAAGAAGCAAAATGTCCAAATATTGGTGAATGTTGGGGTGGGAAAAAATCAGAAGCTACTGCTACGATTATGTTGTTGGGAGATACATGTACTAGAGGATGTAGATTTTGTTCAGTGAAAACCAATCGTACTCCTTCAGCTCCTGATCCTAAAGAACCAGAAAATACTGCTGAGGCTATTAGTAGATGGGGATTGGGATATGTTGTTTTAACCACTGTTGATCGTGATGATTTGATAGATGGTGGTGCAGCACATTTGGCTGAAACTGTTATGAAGATTAAACAAAAGGCACCTCAAATCTTGGTTGAAGTTTTAAGTGGGGATTTTAGAGGTGATTTGAATATGGTTGAGATATTGGCTGGATCAGGGTTGGATGTCTATGCTCATAACTTGGAAACAGTTGAAGATTTGACTCCTCATATTAGAGATCGTAGAGCTACTTACCGTCAATCCTTGGCAGTTTTACAAAAAGCAAAAGAAGCGAAACCAGATTTAGTGACCAAGACAAGTTTGATGCTTGGATTTGGTGAGAATGATCAACAAGTTTTACAAACTTTGAAAGATTTACGAGAAGTTGGATGTGATGTGGTTACTTTTGGACAATATATGAGACCAACTAAGAGACATATGAAAGTTGTTGAATATGTTACCCCAGAAAAATTTGACTATTGGAGAGATACTGCATTAGAAATGGGATTCCTTTATGTTGCTAGTGGTCCATTAGTTAGATCTTCTTATAAAGCTGGTGAAGCATTTATTGAAAATGTATTGAAAAAGAGAAGACATAATGTTGGTGAAGCACCAAGATTGGAACAACAAATTAATCCTAAGTTGTTTGCGAAGGCTGGATAAGATTTTATAGTATTTTACAAATATGCATAAATATATCTATTTATTAAGAACATACTTATCATGCCCTGTTTATAAATAGCTGGGTACACAAAACACGTAAATTTCAAAATCTCCTCTACTCTTGTGATTATACGCGTAGAAAGTGAATCTGAAAAAAAAACTCTTGTGATCTTCGAATCTATTGATAATTACGAAATAAGAGTATGATCAGGTTCACTCTAATTGTTGTTGGAATTTCACTCTAATAGGGATAGATATTGTACATGATCCACCCTGCACCATGCATAATGGGACAAACCCTTTATTGTGTAGAAATACGAGTTCAATTGTCTGTCTGTCGTCATGTTTACACTTTTTCTTAACAGGGGGGAATGGAGGGGCAGAGAGAAGCTTTTGGAAATTTTTCAAATTTTTCACTCTATTCAAAACATTTTCTTGACTTCGACGCATTCTATTCCCATATTACAAATTTTCTTCAGGATATTTGGTTCCATTAATACAAAGATAACCCTTTTCACTTGATTGCTTTCTTTTTAGATTAAGATAAATTTGTACGTGTTTTTTGTTTGTTTTAAGATTTTCCACGGGCAGTTCAAGAAAGTCACACAAAATCAAACGTCTTTTACAATTCGCGTGCCCCATATTATTATTATTATTTATTTTTTATTTATTGTACTTCCATTTCATCTCATTTCCAGATCCAACCAATTTCAGAAAGCACCACTTGCACCTTGACATTTCAATCTTCTTCTCCCTAGCTATAAGATTCTTAACGACGCACCATTCCATATGTCAAGTCGTCGTCAAAGAGAGAGTCGTTGTCGGGATGATCATGACAGCGACGAGGATTCGTTGATTGAAGCATTTGAAACCACCTTGACTATTAGACCATCCACGACTGAATATGAAGAAGATAATGACATTTCCATTGATCATACCGTCTTACCTAATAGTACTATAAATTATACTAGAGATACAAGTATTGTCGATATACAAGAATTGGAAGAAAATGAACAACTTTTAGAACAAATCCCCAAATTTAAACCCAATACGAGAAGATACAGTCTTTTGCCCACTTACAACACTATCAAAACAATCGATGAAAATGACAGAACGATTAATACCACCACGTTTGAAAAAACACCGAGTCCAAGATTGGAAGAACATTATAATACCCAAAAACTTGATCCTAAATACAATTCAATCCTAAAACCTTCCATATTAATCGATGAATCATTAACCAAATACACTAAGACCTTCAATGATTTCTTACAATCAAACCCCCATATCCAAAAAGAATCCCCTCGATTCCCTCAAGATTCAGATAGAACTTTAATTGTCTTGTCCCCCTATTCTGCCGAACACGCATTTGGACGGAAATGGGTCACCAAATCATACCTATCCACCATCTTCGAACGGCCTCAACGATTAGCAGCCAGTTGTATTGGGGTAGCCTCGGCAGTAACGATGTTTCCCTATTATTATAAAGTCATCAATTCCACCAAAAGAGGTTCTATTTTTGCATCCCATGTTCGTAAGATTCATGGACGTAATTGGCCCAAGAAATTATTTGAATTATGTTTGGAATCTCATGAGAAATTAAAGAATGATGAATTGGAAGTTCCGGAAGATTGGAACACGGGAGATATTTATCTAACTCCGAAAACTATAAATGCAATCGAAGGAGTCATTGGAAGTATCGAAACAGCGGTGGATAGTTTATATCTGAAGAGGAAAAAACAGTTGAATGAAGGTCATAATCTTGCGTTTGTAGTGATTAGACCTCCAGGACATCATAGTCATGCTTGTTTGCCTAGTGGATTTTGTTTGTTAAATAATGTCCAGATTGGAATTGAGTATGCGTTTGAGAAGTATGGAATCACTCATTGTGCGATTTTGGATATTGATTTACATCATGGTGATGGATCACAGGATATTTGTTGGGAAAGAGGTGGATTTACCGGTGAGTATGGACAACAGGAGGAAGATGAGATTGTAGATCCGAAATTGAATCCAAGGGATGATTATGGGAAACGATTTGCTACATATCCTAAAGTAGGATACTTTTCATTGCATGATATTAAATCATATCCTACTGAATTAGGATATGCTACCAAGGAAAATATTAAGAATGCATCTACTTGTATTATGGATCATGATTTAAATATTTGGAATGTTCATTTACAATCTTGGAATGATGAAGATGAATTCTATAAACATTATCAAACCAAATATGTTGCCATTTTAAATCGAGCAAATCAATTCCTCAATAATGCCAAAAAACAATATGATGATGAATATCAAGAATATTTAATCCAATTATCAAAATATAATAAATCAATTCTTAAACCCCATCTCTTTGCTCCCAACCAACAACCTTCCACGATCACCAAACCAACCCCACCACCTCCATTCAAACCCCTAATCACAATCTCCGCCGGATTTGACGCTTCAGAATATGAAAACCCGCAAATGCAACGTCATGGGATCAACGTCCCCACCTCATTCTATGCCACCTTCACCCAAGACGTCGTCAAACTCGCCAAAATCCATACCAACGGAAAAGTCATCTCCTTCTTAGAAGGAGGATATTCCGATGGAGCATTGACCACGGGGATTTTCTCCCATTTGATCGGTCTCAACAATGACGACGAATTCTTGTGGAATCAAACCTGGGGAAGTGAACAAGTGATGAAGGAATTAGTTAAAGGATGTAAGAAATCCTGGACCCCCTATAAGAAACCTCAGAGTGATATTACCATCTGGGCTAATGAGGTTATCAAATTAGGTAGATCGATGATGCCGAATGCTATCTTGCCGGCGAATTATATCTATCTGTATCTGTATCCTGAAAGTCTGGAGCCTAAGGGGGCCGTGAATAAGATGGTGAAGGAGCTTATGGATTCGAATGGGAAGTTGTTGGTTGTGCCTGAGAGTCCGGTGAAGGTTGATCCTGAGGATGGGAGGAAGGTGGTTAGACATACTAGATCGTATTATAGGCGGAAAGACGGGGATGAATAAGTTTGGAGTAGTGGTGTATTGTTAGATGATTTTAGAAAGAGTTGGATTTTTTGTCGTTAGAGTGTGTTTAATTTGCATTTTAGTTGTATAGATTTTTTAATTGTAGCTGACATTATCAAGTAGAGAGACCATTCGGCCCTAACTGGCGATGTGGTGCATTTACCGTAGGGTCATAGTAGCAATCAGAAGGGTCAGCCGGGATTTTCATGCTGAGCTACGCTAAAGAGTATCTGTGTTATTACTAAACTCCCGATGAAACTATTAAATTTTAATTCAGGTTACATTCGTTTCATTTCGTTTCGAAGAAACAAACTCGCGTTGACCTGTATGCTCTTAATATTTGTTAGAATAACGCGTCATTGGTTCATGAAACAAGAATTGCAGCCAACGGCTTCTAAATTTTTGATTCTCTTGAAAGTTTTCAATCTAATCAGAAGATCCATAAAGAAACGCAAAAACCCCAAGCAAGTACAGCGCTTTGACCCATTAGGTAGCTATGCACTATTGGCATAAACTTATCCGAAAATGGTGATAAAGTTTCCGTTTTGCTTACTCTCTCTATTTGTACTTTATATGTTATAGAGTTTCGGTGTTAAATGTAGAGGTGACCGAGTCCCAATTCGGCCCTTGGTGTGATTGCACTATACTGGCATCAAGGGGTTGGTACACATAACTATAAAAATGCTAGTCAGAACAAGCCATTGGCAAGCTAAAGCGATACAAGTCAATTGTGAGCAATTATTGACGACCCGTCAATTAGATCCCTTTTTCTACTCGCGCTTATGTGTGTGGCCGCCATCAATTAAATGTAGAACCAATATCTAATGGCAAAGGTATGATCACAAGAAGCTGCAAAAGACAATTGATCCCATCAACCTAAAAGGGAGATCCCCTCTAACCTAAAAGGGAGTGGTACTTGACACGTAAAATGTCTCAAAGAAGACATTTGGAAACCCTATAGTTCATTTAAGCCTTTAGACTTTATGCATAACCTAAATCATAAATTTATTTTAAATTAATCTTTTTCTTCAAAATAGTTATTTTGTATTTCGAAACAATATCGTCAATATTTTGTGAATCAATTGATGGGGTGGGGAGATACATTAATCAATTATACTAATTAGGTAGTATTTAAAGCGAATGGGGTGACGGAAACACAATTAAGAGCTAAGAAATTATTCAATTTGATTCCCAATTAGGAAATCATCCGAACCAACTAAAAAGAAAAAAGATAATGAGAGATAGTGTAGCGAATTGGGTAAAAGTACACTACCCCCTTTACTCCAAATAAAATAAATTAAAACATTTTAGAAATAAGAAATGTTAACTTATTAAAAAAAATAAAATATATTTTTAAAAAAAAAAAAGAAAAAGAAAAAGTCGTATAAAATAAAATAAATTTTATCATCCTATTGTCCGTTGAACACATTATTTAAAATTATAAACTTGTTGTTATTCATACTGTATTCTTACTATCTAATTAATATTTCACCCCCTGTTTCAGTTTTTTATATTTACATTTTGTTGTATTTACCACTTTTAAGAAGAAGCATTTAAATTTACTGTTTGTCACAAGTACACGTCTCTTTTCCCAGAGTTAGATTTTTACAGGTTTTAGTTCAACAAACAACCCATTTCACACGCTGACCAAACCATAAAGTATATGACTCCTAGTAGTATGCATTCACCAATGAAGGAGAGGCACTATCAGAATTATGATAAGGATAATGATGGAACGGTTCAAGAGTATACACCATCAGATCCAAGGTTTGATAGATCCAAATTAAGTGATTGTCAATTCATTGAACAACTTTTGTTTGAGAATAGAGAACTTAAAGCATTATTAGAAAGACAGAATAAAACATTAGAAAGATTGAATATTGAATTAGGTCATACTAATAACAATCATAATAACAATAATAAACGTCATCATATAAATGGTAAGGTAACCCAGACAGAATTATTACCTCCTAATTCTCCTCCTGAAAAGATTATAACGTCTCAAAAGTCTACCAAATCAATCCATTCTTCTGATGACACACCTCAGTCACCTACTAGAAGAGCAGCACCACACACACAAAGAAGCAAACAAAAGGAGCAACAAGTGTTAGAATCCCAGGATTCAATATCAAGTAAGGATTCTATTACTAATGGTATACCAATGAGATCATCTAGACGAGGTAAAGGTTCTTCCGATATCCTTTCATCGAAAGATATAACTGTCGATAGTATTCCAAATTCCTTGAATAATTTATCTATTGCCGATGAAAATGATACAGGCTCACTATTGTCAAGTTATGAACATGACGATGTGGCGGCATTATCAAAAGATAGCTTTATAGCCCCACCACACTCTCTGGCCAATCCTTCTCCAGTTCCAGTAAGAGCAACCGAAAGCATAGAATCTCATGAAGACACTACTATAAAATCACATTACGGAATTCTGGATTCAACAGGAACAAGCGCGACTTCAGCAATATCTAGAGTCTATTCAGAAGAGAAGGGAATAAGTCGAAGTTCTAGTAGTGTAGGGTCTACCTATAAATCATCGAGAATTAAATTACCACCAAATTCAGCCCATCAAGCCAAATCTAATACAACAGTCGATTCAATTGCAGATATGGCTCCAGTAGCCTTAAAGTCACCTGTGATGTATCAACAATCACCATCATCTACTACAGGTTCCCGATATGAATCTCCAACAAGCCAAACAGCTCCATCCTTTGCCAGTCGGAATGACGCACTTGCCAGTCCTGATAAGTTTGGAAATAAATTCACTATGAAACTAAATGATATCCCCAATCCATTGATTAAAGAAGAAGGAACTAAGTCACAAATTTCATCACCATTACCAGGTTCATTTATTCATTGTAATGATTCGCCTGTACAACAATTGGCTCCTCCCTACGAACCAGGTTCATTAAGACCATCATTCAAGTCCCCACCAATGCCATCTAGTGCTGTCTATGGTGATCACCCACTGACTCCTGGATCTAGTTTCAATGTTATCCACTCTAGTACTATGGAGATGGATGAATCCTCCTTATTTATAAAACCAGATGAGTTCCAAACAATTTATGTTTTTGTGATAAGTACAATCAATGTTAATTCTGAACATCAAACAACCAAGAAATCAGACGATCCAAATATCACAATGACTATAAATGATCGTGCAACGGATAAGGAAATGTGGAGAATTAGAAAAACTTATTCGCAATTGTGTACTTTTGATACTGAAATTCGTCCAATTATTGAATATTTTGGATTGCCACCATTACCTGATAAAACATTATTTGTTTCCACAACACCATCCAAGATTGAATCAAGAAGATCAGCCTTACAGAATTATTTCGGTACCATATTCCGAATGCCTCATTTACCTCGGATGGTCGTTTATAAAATATGTTCTTTCTTATCATTAGATTTCGTGAATCCATTAGATGATTTCAAGAGTGGAGCAAGAAAGGAAGGATTCTTAATTAGACGATATAAAGGTCTTGGAAGTACCTGGAAGATTAGATGGTGTCAAGTAGATGGACCATATCTTGAAATATATGAAAACCCGGGTGGACCATTAATTGAGCTGATTCCGTTAACTGGAGCCCAAATTGGACGACAATCTTCTGAATCAATAGTTGCCGAAGATAAAGGATACAGACATGCGTTTTTGGTTATGGAGGGTCATAAATCACTGAAATTACAATCGTCATTACCAAAACATTTCTTCTGTGCCGAGACTGATCTTGAACGTGACGAATGGGTGAATGTTTTAGTTGAATTTAGTGATAATGATCAGAATTCTCCAAGACAAGGAGGAGCATATGAATTTGCCGAAACACCCAGCAGTACACGATATGAGAGTTTTAATAATGATGATATAATGGATTCAAAGAAATATCTCCATACTCCAGCATCGTATGCAAATACATCAAATGATCAAATGTCAACATATACCTCGGCGTCGAATGAAGAAATACCTACCAAAGAACAAAAGAAAGCCAGAAAGAAGAGTTTTTTCCCCTGGGGTAGAAGCAACGCTGGCGCCATTCCTCTCGAGCTTGATGAAACTGATATGACTGCCGCTTCCCTGCAGTCAACAACAACACAGATCGTGCCTAATGAAACCTCGATGCAACACTACTTGAATCAATTGAACCTAGATGAAGACGTTGCCAAGACAGTATTTGGAAGAAATGTAGAAGTGGCCTACGAATTATCAAATCATGAATATATGGGCAGACGAATCCCGAGCGTTTGTTTCAGATGTATTGATTACCTCAACAAAACTGGGGCTGTATTTGAAGAAGGGATATTTAGATTGAGTGGTTCTGCATCTACAATCCGACAATTGAAAGAACAATTCAATACTCATTATGATATTGATTTATTTGATTGTTCATTGAAGCCGGATATACATACAGTAGCGGGATTGTTTAAGACGTATTTACGTGAATTACCATGTCCGATAATGGGACTTGAGACATATAATCATTTGAATTCACTTATTTATAATAATAAATCATCATCGCCATCTGAGATTGCGATTTTGTTTAGGGATTATTTTAATGATTCTGTAAATGTTGATCAAATCCATTATGATATTTGTTATGTTATTTTTAAGTTTTTGAGACTGGTGATTTCCCAAAATCAATCCAATAGAATGAATTTGAGAAATGTATGTATTGTATTCGTACCAACCTTGAATGTTACTTTGGAAGTGTTGAGTACATTTTTGGTTGATTTTGAATGTATTTTCGAAAAGGGGAGACCAATCCTGGATGATAGAAGAGAGATTTTGGATCTTCATATTCCTAATTTTTGAGTGAGGTGGGGGCCTGCCATAACGACGTGTTAAGAGTTTTTCAATTTAGATTGTGTTATTATTATTATTATTAGTTTTTGTTTTACAAGATCGTCATTTCGTTATATAAATTTTTAGCTTAGATTTTTACCGTTGCTTATTATTCGTAGTTATTATTATTATTAGTATTATTCATATAGGCATACATATAAAATTGCAATTTTAATCAAAAGTTACATTTAACTTAAATTAATCTGTAGATATGTGAACCATACATGGAACATTTTCTCCACAATGGGATTTGATGAAGTCATATTTCCGATTCGTCATAAAAAATAATCTGAATCATCTGATGTGTCACAATTATTTTTTTCTGTGCCATCTTTTTTTGGATCTAGTCCTCGGATAAACTGAAAATAAACTGTCGTACAAACTATCTACGATGTCGCTAAAGTAGTCGTCAGTGACATCACCGCTAACATGTTAAGTCATGTTTTGGGGTAATAGTTTTGTGTAATTTTGTTTCTGTTCGTATTTTTCCATAACTGAATAATTTACTCACTAGCCTCGGAAGCAAGCAGAGGTGGCGATTGGGTTTATACTTGTAAATAAGCCTTGGAGGGAGGGATATGAATACAAAATGCATTGCTTGTAGATCACGACTCAAGATTCTCAACGAGAAAACTTTCCCACTTCGTAGTTCATGGATGCTCTCAATGCTGCATCTTTGACAAAATAACCTATTTACTTAGCTATCTTATCATTGTCGTGCTTTTATTGTCTAACAAACTAACTAGATACTAGTGATGGAAAACTCGAAAGTAGGTTCAAAACGGAGAATAAAAAGCTAGCCGGAATAACTTTTTTTTCAGGGTCATAGATTATCCATTATGCATAAAAAATATTTTATTTTTTTAGGGAGTATGTGAATCATCATCAATCTTTCAACGCAAGCCGATTATGTCATTCTGAATACATGAAAGTCATTACAAACAGGTTTATTTATAACTTAGCCACAATTTCACAAGTATATAAACCCCAGAAGTTTCCAATTTCCAAACTCGTTTCAATTATTCTCCTCATCAAACAATTTTAATAGTTTATTTACTATCACATTAATCATTACAAACGCTTATTACAAATAATTTTAACATGTTGGAAGACGCTAACAATATCCCAAGAAACTCAACTGCTGGTCTCGGTGCTTGGTTAGCTGCAAAGATCAGACAAAGAAAGGAAAGAAAGGAACTTTATAAGAAGTATCCTGAATTAAAGGAAGCTGCTAAGGAAAAGAAAGAAGGTATAAACTGCTAGAAGGTTTATTTCATAGTTGCATATATATTTATTATAGATTTACTTATGTATTACTTAATGAATTGATTTTTTTATTAAATAATCACTAGGCTTTATATTGTAGAGACTACTCGAAAATTTAGGTGAAGTTTCTGACGAAGGTCTTGAATGAAGACAGGACGGTTATTGATCTCTAAGAGAACTTTAACCTGCCATAAAGAGCTTGGTGGGTAATTCAACAACTAGATGATAAGAGTAGATTTTCAATGTTTAATTACCTGATAATCAGACATTCAAGAATTGTTAATAATTTTCTGAATGGCGATACCTCGGTTAAAGACAAAATACCCCTAGACAGTGTACATATCATCCGAGTGCTCATGCCCAATAAAAGCCTGTCATACTAGTAATATATCGGATAGATACATTGCAGTCGTAAACCCGGTGACGACAGTTTCGAAATTCATCCATGCCATTAGTTTCCTTATTGCAAAAAATTGAGTCTCATTTCGGGAACAATAAGAGTCGAGTCACTTATTTTTCCACTGTGCAGAAAAAAATAAAATATTTTTTACTGGTTTCACATCATGACTATGTGATCATGAGTCCTGCAAATTCATGAATTACATCATTAAAGATTCGTGACCGAAAGGGTCTATGGGTAGCTTAGCCACAACTTAAACAAGTATATAAACCCCATAAACATCCCTTCTTTCCTATGAGATTGATTGTTTTCTATCATCATCAAATAACTTTAATAATTTACTTATTATCATATTAAATACTACAAACGCTTATTATATACAAATTTTAACATGTTGGAAGACGCTAATAATATCCCAAGAAATTCAACTGCCAGTCTCGGTGCTTGGTTAGCTGCAAAGATAAGACAAAGAAAAGAAAGGAAAGAGCTTTACAAGAAATATCCTGAATTAAAAGAAGCTAAAAAAGAAGGCTTAAACTGTTAAAAGGTTACGTCGCCATATTTGCATAGATATACGGTATAGATTACTCATATATATATATATCATGAATACTATAATAAAAGTATAATCATAAGACTCTTCTGATAACTTTGTACATTAACTAATATGACATTACAAACTTTATATAAAACTCAGATATCTTACATGAAAACACTTCCTCTTACTTAAATAATCAACAAAAATCAAACATCTCCAGTGTATACAAATAAATACTTTGATTCCCAACAATAATACTTAGTCTTCTCTCTACCATTCACTTTCACCGGTGGCTTTCTGAAACACGTAATCTTTTCCATCAATATTGGCAATCCCTTCCTTCAAATTCGATTTCCATTTATTCTTGATACGTTGCACCTTATCGTAAAGACACAACATAATCTGTCCTTCTTGGTCCCCATCCTCATCATCTGACCTATCACTTTCCAAATCATCATCCAAATCAGAATTCACATCGTCGGAATCATTAAACATATCCCCATCATCACCATCGTCGTCGTCATCATCATCATCACCCATGGCTCCATCTACTTGCTTGATTGTCTTTTTGGTTTTGTTCTTTAGCGAATCGAAAAACTTGCGTCCATTATTGCCTTCGGTATACATTGTGAATTCAAATGTCCCATCTGCTTGATTGATATTAGGAAGCATCAACCCCGTATCATTATCGTTTTCTTTCTTCGTTATCACCGGTAATTCAATACCAATACTCCCTGCTGGTGCGGCACTTGTTGTGGTATTATATGACAATTGAACCTCGGGTAATTCCAACCCAGTTCCATTGGTGTCCACAGTATCAGATATCCCGGGAGTGGTTTGGGGTACGAGATCCGAAGTACTATTTATGTTGCTATCGGCACCTGTAGATATATCTTGCTCTGCTTGTACGATGTTGTTGTTGTCAACTTCCTCATCATCTTCATCCCAGGAGAATTTTGCTACACTGGATTGACTTAATTTTTCACACCAGATTCGTCTTAATTCCTGAAGAGTGGATTCATCGATACCACTATCTTCAAAATCCTGCCTTGAGTCGTTGATTACATCTTCAATGATGGTTTCGTAAAGTTTACTTGTTTCTGCGTTGGACATTTTGTATTATGATTGAATAATATGGAGTGTTGCTGTTATGGGTATTGCTTTTCACTATAATTCTATCAAATCTATAAATAATTAGCTTTTTGGTATTTGTACAATTATCTCGTTCTTCTTCGGCTTCTATTGATACTCCTTCAACTTGGTAAGTAATTGAAATGGTTGTTGCTTATTAATTGTTCTCCCGTGGTTGTAATTTCTATTAATCAAACCAGTGACAAAAATAATACAAAAAGAAAAATGAAGTTGGATCAAGTGGGATGATTCTTAATGTCGTAAATTGACTCTTATTCTTTGATGTATTGAAACTGTTAATACAAGTTTGCTTTTGGTTCTTTAGAGGAGTTGCTTGAACGAAATTGTCGATTTTTTCATCCCTTTTTTTATACTCGTCACGTGATTTTATTACCCGGCTTTAGAATTTGGAATGGGTGCAAATTGCAAAAAACTATGAACAACTGGTAGAATTCCCTTGAACCTTAGACTTGCATTTTGCGCCTGGCTCAACTGTTTATTTCCCATGTTACCTTGGCTATTGACTGCATGATCAATCTTTTTTAAGTGATAGCTACAATGCTTCAACTTGTCTTATTGGCAGACTCATACAAAGATGATGATGAATTGCAAAAGATTCAATGCGCAAAAGAGTCACCCACTAATTGCACGTCTAACTCAATGTAGAGTTCATATTTACTTATCACCTATATATTTTGTAAGCAATTAGTCGATTCACTATAAGCAACCACATTCAGCTAAATCTATCTAATTGGCATCATGAATCTGTTTCACGGTATCTTCTGTCATGAGTAATATACTCAAACTGAAGAATGTCTTACATCTTCAAAACAAGGTAGACCTTACTGAACCCATATTTCATAGATTGATAATTCTGATTACTTAAAGATATCGGAGCATTCATTTGATCCCAGCTCCACGTCATAGGACGTTGAAAATCCGTTACAAGAGAAATCAAGCGTAATATACAGTAATCTAATATATTAATATACACAAACTAAATTCCAGAAACACTATTCTCATCATCAGCAACATTAGATCTATCAGGACTTCCACCTCTCAAATGAATAGGAACCTTAATATTATTAGCCTTAAATATCTCCATCAATTGCCTAACTTGATTCTCACTTTTTTGCAATTGTCTCCTCGAAATATCCAATTGCCTCTGAGCTTCCCTTTTAGCCTTATTTAACCCTTCTCTTTCTTGTTCGAAATACGCTTTAGCTTCATCTAATTTCTTACTATGCTTTTTGGAATATGCTTGATGTAAATCGTGCGAAACTCTTTGGATTTCCAATTCCGCATCTTGATTCGCAGTTTCGAGCTTTTCAGTAAGTGAATCGATTTGCTTTTGTTGGAGGGAATTTTCATCTTGGAGTGATTGAATTTGGGAATTGAGGGAGTTTATCGTTGTTGAAGATTCTGATTCAACTTTAGAGATTGCTTCTATCAATTGAGTCATTTTTGTCATGTCCTCGGAAATGATATGTTCTTTCTCTGATATGATTTGAGTTTTGTCGTTGATAGCTGCTTCGAGACGGTTTTGGGTTTGGTGAAGTTCGGAGTTCTCTTGTTCGAGTTGGTTCATTCTGTTGGAGAGTGTTTGGGTTTGGGACTCAGCTTGACTTATTTCGGAAGATAAGCTAGCGAGTTTTTGCTCATATTCTTCAGTGAGATTGGCAGTGGCTTCCTGGTGTTGGGATCTGGCTGATTCAAGTTGTGTTTCTAAATCAGCTACTTTTTCTTCAGTAATTGTATCATATTCTTTAATCAACCTGGCATTCAATTCATTTTGAGAACTTAATTCCTTGTTTATTGATACCAAGGAATCATTCTCTTGTTCTAATTTCTTCCTTTCTTTTTCTAAAGCTTCGTAGTGCTGGTTAAGCTCACTATATTGATGTTTTAAATCTTCATACAAGGAATTCAATTCGCTTGATTTAGAATTCATCTGATCCTCGGCTTGTGCGAGTTTATGTAAAAGATGTTCATTCTCCTGCTCAATGCGTTTCTTATCCCTAATCAATTGGTCCAATTGAGTCTTATTTTCCGAATTTGAGTTAGTTTCATCAATGAGATCCCTCTTTAATTCTTTCACTTTTCTCCTCAAAATTTCCACTTGCTCAGTCAATAATTCAACGGTATTTGAAGCTTCTTCAAATTCCGTTTGCTTCTCATCTAATCTTTTACGCAAATTCATGAGCGAATTCTCTTGAATCTTGAAACTTTTGGTTAATGAAGCCAATTCACGCTCATTGTGCTTTAATTGAATTGAAAGAAATTCTTCATTATTAAGCAATTTAGTTTTTGATTCTTTTAAATCACGCAATTCTTGTTGAGTGGAAACAAGGGATTCTTCTAATTTGAATACTTCTTCATTTAATTTTGAGACTCTTGAGTCACGAATATTTATTTCTTCATTTAATTCATTAATTCTTGCTTCGTTCTCTTGTTGGATTTTACTAACATGATCCCTTGAAAAGATTGGTTTGGAATTAGGCGACATTAAGAAGTTTATTGTTGGTTCATTCTCAAGTCTAGAAATTATTTGATCACTAGTAAATTCTTCCTCTTGTTCTTCTAGTTCATCTTCCTCTTGTTGTTGCTCCTTTTCATGACTTTCTTGCTCATCGTTATTAGCATGTTTATTTCTAAATTTATGAGTCTTCAATGGACTTGTAGAGTCACTCAATTTGACATCCTCAGTCTGATCATCATCTAACATATTAATACGATTACTTTGATGACCATTGGGGCTCTTTGGTGTAGGTTCAGTATACCTCTCAGGAGTGAAGTAATCAAATGTATTTGAATTCTTTCTGAGTTTATTAATGTGGATATTCTTGTTATAAAGCGTATGAGGTTCAGTGTCATCTTCTTTGTTTCCATCATGGTGATCGACTTCGTCAACCCCACCCGATCTTATAATTGAACTTGAATCGGCAATTCTCGAACGGGATTGATTTAATTTCTCAACAATTTCTTCAATCAGAACATCGTCTTTATTATCATAACGTGAATCCGATTGCAAATGTGAAGAATTTCCTTTGGATTTCTTTTTGCTTACCGAAAAAGAAATATCTTCTTCCAACCCTTCTTCTGGACGGCGTTTTAGTGGAGAGTCATGATTATCAAAATATACCGGATGTTTGAGAGGTGAATCATCATTCTGAACTGTCAAAGAATGATCAAACCTCATTGGAGAACTAGAAGTTATTGCAGGATCAGCATTCTCTTTCCCACTATAAGAAAGTTGAGGAATCTTAGAATCAAAATATTGTTTTGATTTACGAATACTATCCAAATTAATTCCATTTTGGCTATTGGTGGGAGAAGTCATTGTACTTCTTTTTGGATCAATCAAAGGAGTATTTACTAATGATTTTCTTTTATTGGTACTGTTATGACCAATTGTGTTTCTTCTAGCTTCGTGCTTAGCGTTTAAACCATGAGGATGATGAATTATAAGGTCCGGAGTTCTATGAGGCTGATGATAATGATGATCATGTACTGGTGGAGAATAGGTTGTTTTCGTGGATAAGTTTAACTTGACTGGCGATAGATCTCCAAATACAATTCCAGATCTTTGTTTAGGAGGCGAAGTTGGATTCATGTTGCTTATTATCTTTTTCTTACCTTTTTGAAATGAAATGGAAACAAACAACTTTTGAAATAAATTTATGGAATTTGTTTTTGGTTGTTTTTTTTTGGGATGGTTTTTTTTCTGTTCGCGTATTTACTTTTTGGGGAAATCAATTTGTAGCTATTCTTCGGTGCTTCTAAAGTAACAATCACTTATTCAACCTTTTATAAAGAAATTATTCAAAGATGATTGTAATATATTTGGGGATCTCTACACTCTCGGTTCCCCTTTAAAGGTCTCAAAACAATTATAGAGAATATGCAAATACCAGAATGGCGAATAACGTCGACCTTAATTGAACACATGTTACCCGCATTTTTCTAGTCAACAAAAAGACGCGTCCTAGAGATACGCGTAAGCTAAACTTACGGTTAATCAGCCTTACAAATCAGAACTAATCTTCAAGGACTCCCCTATCTCCTCCCTATTTTTTCAACGTTCGGATCCATCGGATTCATTACATTAAATGAGAATAGAGAAGTTGTGCGTCATATCCCTTCATGTAGAAATGCCAATGCATTTTCAGTGGAGAGACAGACGAGCAGACGAGCATTTACTGTAAATCGATCATCAGATATTGATAGTTGAAACAAATCTATTGTAGAGACAATATATGGATAAATAGTTTTTATGAGCAGCTTTAGAAATCAACCTGAATAATAAAAATCAAAACTAAATAATAATGCCAACCAAAGCAACTACCATTCCGGACAAGAATAATCCTCTATCAAGAACTTTAGAACCTTTATCTTCGATGGGTGAAACTGTAACTTCCAATATTGCGGCTGGTATATGTGAATCAGAGATAAAGTTTGCGTCATCTTGTGACATCATAGTATTCTGGGTTGTTGCTTGCCCAGCAGATTTCGTTGTCGACATACCATTAGCTCTAGTTGTCACGTTTTCGGAATGATTCTCTGAATGCAAACTCGACTTTTCTTCTGTAATTCCAGTGGCTGTACTTCCCGAGATTGTCATTGTCACTTCAGATATCTTGCCGTCAATGGTCGTTCTCACTATTGTTTGATATGGGGAAAGTTGACTTCCTGTCTTGGATGCAGGGAGAGTCATAGTGATGATAGGAGTTTCTGCTGAGATAGTACCAGTAAATGTAGTTAATCATCCATCTATCGTGGTTGAAACCACACTCCTGGAAAGATTGGGAAGCACAGAACCTTCAGGGATAGTGGTTACGGTCATTGTCGTGACACCTCCATTAATAGTTAGAGTTATAGGAACAATAGATGAAACTGGAAGCAACGGAACAGTGGTAGTTACATGTGGTTCTGTTGTGACAACAGTCTTGGTTATTTCACTAGGTATTACGGTTCCGGATATTTAGTGGTCACGGTTCTCGTTATAGCAATATCAGCAGTAGTGAATGGAACATCTATTCGAAATATTCCTCGTTTATTGGGATATTATTCAGGGAAATTATTCTCAAATATGGTCAGCTAATTCAATCATCGCTAGCCCGCAAATTGAAAGCACTTTAGGATAGGATGTGTTACAGGGAAGGGCTGGATCCTTCTTCTGGCAGCGCCGTCCAGGAAACTTAGGTAAGCTATTCCACGGGAAATTCTGCAAATAGTATCAATCCTGTTCTCGGAACTCCGTTCATGAGCACGTGAAAATCTCGACCTTGATCAATTTCCGGTATGCAACCGGAACTTTGGGGAGCCACACTAGTCAAGACAATTCAAAAGGTGTAAAGAGTGGATCACCGTAATTTAGAGGGGTATATTATTCAAGTGGACCCTGTCATATACAATGGATAGTTGGAGGCTGAAGTAGTGGGATAACCAATTGAATTTTTACTTGAAGTGGAACAATCAAGACCACCAATAGCAACTAGTCGAAAGCATGTGTAACGACAAGAATTAACTTGACTAGCGGGAACTCATAGACATCCGAACATGGATAATTAGTAACTTTGCAGGCAAGCGTGTATGAATCCATTTGTGAGCCGTTTATTCGAAAGGAGTGAAATACTTCATTGTTCTTTAAATCGTGGAATTCAACAATGAAATTTGTTCTAGGGGGCTTGCTGCGCTATCAATTGAAAAAAATCCATACTGTAATTCCCCGTAAAAAGAAAACGGCTGTTTAATTGACCACTTTATACTCACCATCATCTTATTAATAGAACATCAAAAAGTAATAAAAAAGGCAATTGACAAATGATTGGTCTTCCAATTGATGGTAATAAACAATCTCGATTCAGTAGGAAAACCTACTTTATGGGATTTGCTATAATATTAGTATTGATTACATTTTTAACTAATTATTTAAAAATTAGATTTAGTCCAACTCCTGTAAATGTTGATTTATGTCCAATTCATGAACCAATATCTCCAGACTCATTCAATAAAGATAATTCAACTGTTTTGAAAATCTTACACGATAAAGCGTATAGAAATGAATCAGTTGAAAGATTAGCTGGGGCAATTCAAATCGATACTCAAATCTTTGATCATCAACCAGACGTAGATGAAGCTCCTGAGATTTGGATCAAATTTCAAAAGTTTCATGATTATTTAAATAAAACATTCCCATTGGTTTATAAGCATTTAGAAATCCAAAAAGTAAATACTTATGGATTGGTATATATTTATAAAGGATCTCAAGAATCTTTAAAACCAGTTTTATTAGCCGCCCATCAAGATACTGTCCCAGTTCAAAAAGATACAATTGCTAATTGGTCCTATCCTCCATTATCCGGTCATTATGATGGTGATTATATCTATGGAAGAGGTGCTGCTGATTGTAAAAATGTTTTAATTGCAATTTTGGAAACTTTTGAAATCTTATTATCCCAGAAATATAAACCTAATAGAACAATTATTGCTGCTTTTGGCTTCGATGAAGAATCTAGTGGATTGCATGGTGCTCGCCATATTGGTGAATATTTAGAAGATAGATTTGGAAAGGATTCTATCTATGCCGTAATTGATGAAGGTCCAGGGATAACCATTGATAGTATGACAAAAACAATTTTCGCAATTCCAGGAACTGGTGAAAAGGGATATGTTGACATCATTACTGAATTAACTACTCCTGGTGGACATTCAAGTATTCCACCTGATCATACTTCGATCGGAATAATGGCAGAATTGGCTTATCTTATTGAATCTGATCCGTATAGTCCAATTCTTACCGATAAGAACCCAACCTTGAATTATTATCAATGTTTGGCACTTCATGATCCTCATCGTAATATTCCAAGAAATTTGAAGGGGATAATCTTACGTGCTGGGGTTGATAGACATGCAAATGCAAGATTATTATCGTATATTCAACAAAATCCATTAACGAGATATTTAGTGAGAACTTCACAAGCATTAGATATAATTCTGGGAGGTGAAAAGGCAAATGCCTTACCTGAACACGTTAGTTTATTAACTAATCATAGAATTGCAATTGAAAGTAATTTAGATTTAGTTAGGGATCATTTCATTTCTCGAGTCATTGATCTTGCTGATAAACATCGTTTATCAATCAGACAGAATGGGAAATTTATATATGAAGTCCCTGATCCAGCTGGGGTTTTTGATATTACTGAACTGTCAGCCTTGGAACCTGCTCCTTCTACACCTACTAATGATAATGTGTGGAAATATTTGGCCGGAGTTACTAGACATGTATTTGAAGAATTAGTTTTCACGGATCTTGACTATCCTATTGTCATGTCACCGGCCATCATGACGGGAAACACTGATACGAAATATTATTGGGGATTGAGTAAAAATATCTTTAGATATTCTCCATATTTTGTTGCTAATTTGTTGAATGATACTAATGCTCATAGGGTGGATGAGAAGTTGATTTTTGATGGACATTTGCAGTTACAAGCTTTCTTTTATGAATATGTCCAAGCTATTGATTCTGAGAAAGCAGATAACGAGTGAGAAGTCCGTTTCTTTACCCTTTAGTAACTTAAAGTTTACCATTTCTTCACCTATTTATTGGTTATAGCCATCTCTGCTTATGTTTCTGTTATAAAAGTTTTATTTTTGGTATATAGTTATATAAATATACAAATACAAACTGGGAACTCTAAAAATACAATTAGTAGAAATGTACTGCTACCCTCTACCCTAATGATTGGCTGTTTGGTGTCAACAACTGTTGGTTATTTCTTCTTCTTCATTCTTCTTCTATGACTAAGTACACTACCCTTATTCCTTAGTAGGCGGGGTAGTTCTAACTAAGTTCCTTCTTTTCCAAAGGATTATAACGTAAGAACTTTTCAATTAAATCAACATGAGTCAATACCATTCTTCTACAACAGTATCTTTTTAACTTCAATTTATCTAATGCATCACCTTCAGTCATTGATTCATCTTGTAAATATTCCAAATAGGTTTCCCATTTATCACCAACAACTTTGCCACATGAGAAACAACGAATAGGAATAATCATTACTGCTTGTTTGGTTTGTTTTCTGTGTTATCAAAAGGAACTCCCAGGGGTTGATGATAAATAAATAAGAATTAGTTCATTCATTTTTGTTCTGTGAGAGAAAATGGGAGTAGAAAATTTTAGTGACTAGAAAAAAACAATCACGTGACTTTGCTCATCTCATTTTTTATTTTCCCTTTAGAATTTTTTTTTCAGTAGATTTCCCAATGAGAAGAGAAGAGCCATCTCTCTTACTTTCTTTGAATTCATTTACTTCCCTTACTTACTTTTGTTTTATAGAATATTTATAGCAAAGAGGTCCAGAAGTGTGAAGTATAAGTGAAAACAACAAAAGAACAAACATGCCTAGTCATACTTCTTCTGATTGGTCCTTAACTATGGCCACTGGTGGAGTACCATTAAATCTCCCTTATTCATCATCGAGTATATCGATCTTTTCTCAAGACGGTCGTTATTCAATAATCACATTATCTCATCAAATTAGAGTATACTTCATATCTACTCGTCAATGTATCAGAACTATAGATATTGACCTTGTTGATCTTGTGGATATAAAACTTGATGTCACCAATTCAAATCATATTTTATTATTCAAATCTAATGGAGAAATTATTACCGTGAATTGGAAAGAGAAAGTTTCTCAACCAATAATATCAACCATAAAGATGAATGTTTCATTACCTGTCCTATCCATAATTCAAGTCAAACATTTATCTATTGTCTTCGTTACCGGGAAAAAGGATAAGAAATCAAAGAGTTCTCCTCATACTCGTTATATCACTTATTTTGATAGAAATCTGGAATCAACCACTACGATTGCAGAAGTTCCTAACTCAATAGAATTTTCTACTTCTTTGGATTGTAAGAAGATTGTATTTGTCACTAGTCAACATGAAGTTGTGTTAATTGATTTATCTATTTTATTTAAGAAATCAAATGACGAAATTGATGGAAATATTGTAGAAGAAATTACTAAAGAAACAATTCCATTCCCATTTAAATCACAAATCACCTCAGTCGCAGTTTCAAACGATTCCATAATTGCAATTGGTACTTTTTCCGGTACTATTCAAATCTTATTTGGCGGATTAATCATAGCTGAAAAACCACAACGATTATTAAAATGGCATGTGGGCCCAGTTAGAGCATTACGTTTCTCGGCTGATAACAATTATTTGATTTCTGGGGGGTTAGAAAAGGTATTAGTGTTTTGGCAATTGGAAACTGATAAGAAACAATTCTTACCTAGATTAAATGGAAGTATTGAAAAGATTTCAATTGATAATAATAAGAATGATTATATTTCATTATTGTTACGTGTTTCTTCAAGTTTAGATGAAGATAATTTTGAAGTATTGGTATTGTCACAAATTGATTTGGTTTCAAGATTGGCAGTGAATACTATAAGACCAAAATTTAATAATCAATTAAAGACAACTTTAGTTAAAACAAAGAAGAAATATTTGAAATCTCCAGATACTTTTGATAAATTAAAGATTAGATATGATTATAGTTGTATTTTTGAAGTTCATCCAAAGTCAAAAAACCTTTATTTCCCCAATGGGGCCAGCATTCAAGCATTTGATTTAATCAAAAATGAACAAAGTTTCATCCAACATGCTGCTCCTGTCATCACTACCGGTAAAGTAAGATCAGAAACTAAATTAATTGATCCAAACGTCACGTTAATATCCTTCACTCATGACGGCGAATGGATGTGTACATTCGACGAAGTCTTGAATTCAGAAATCGACAACCTATTATCCAAGAATGACAAACAATACGCCTTGAAATTTTGGAAATTCATCGAATCCTCCTCCGCCACCACCCCTTCCACATCCACCAACACTACAACCAATTCCATAAATAACAAAACCGGTCATTGGGAGCCCTCAACCAAAATCCTCGATCCTCACGGCAACAACTCCCAACCGGTCTTATCAATCATCCCCGCTCCCACCTCCTATTTCTCCGGTCTCGCATTCCTCACCGCCGACAACAAGGGTGGATTACGTATCTGGCGCCCAACAGCACCTAAGGAAGCATACACCCTTCCCAAAAATACCACCTCCAGACAAACCGCATGGACATTACGTAAATCCAAAGCCGCAGGGGCATTGGCATCAGAAGCAGTGGATGTATGTTGGTCCGACGACGGGTCGATTATTTTCTTAGCTCATGAATGTACCATAACTCCAATCAATGCCCGTACTTTTGAGGAGATTGGATATGATGAGTTCAAACTCCCTGCCATTTCAGGGAGTCGGATTAGGAGTGTGAAGATGATTGATTCATATTTGGTTGTGTTGTCAAAGACTCGAATTTCTTGTTTTGATTTGTTGACTGGAGAGATGGGGGGTTTGGTTGCAAAAGTGAATACTACTTTAGGTGGGAAGAATTTGATGGCGATTGATCCGGTTAGGAAATTGATTTGTTTGGGGTTGAATTATTATAAAGCTAAGGGAGAAGAGGAATTTGGAATTGGATCGAAGTTGTTGGTGTTTAAACCGGATCAATTGAAGCCTGTGCATGTTGAATATCATAAACAAGCGATTTCATCAATTAGGTATTTTAATTCCTCATTTGTGTTTGTTGATTTAGATTATAAAGTAGGTACATTACATTCTTCCGCTGTCGCTCCTGGTGATGAGATTTCTCAAGAGATTGAAACTGGATTGGTTCAAGAAATTAATAATATGCTTACTAATGCTCGTGCTACAGTTGAAGTCATTAATAGTAGAAATGTATCCGTGAAGACTGGACAACAGAATGGTAGTTTGGATACCCAAGAGGAAATTGATGAAAGTATGGAATTTAATAATAGAGCAATTGATCTTCATACTTTCCAACCAATTTTCCAAAATATTGAAGGGGTTCAAATTGAAACGTTATTCGATCGTATAGTTAAAGTTCTTAAATAGGGAACTAATAGTTATATGTATATACAATGTATAGAAGGATTATTATTATGTACATTATTTTTAACTACCAACAGTTTTACTTCCAACTAAACATTGATTTCCTATCATCATTCTTTTGGTTCGGAGTTGTATTTCTTTGAATTGCCAATACACTTTCAATCTTACTCAATGCATTTTCCAATAAATCCTTTCTTTCTTGTAATTCAATATGTTTCTTAATCTTTGGATCTTCCTTGGCAAATTTTTCAATTTCTTCTTTAGACAAATTATTGAAGAATCGTTGATCTAATTCCCGAGGGAAATTATAATAAAAATCACTCAATAATTCCACATTTAAAAATAAAATCGAAGTAGCGGTAATCTTTGACGTAACTGCATCCAAAAAGATTTCTGGACATTGATATTTATTTTCTTTTCGTTTACATTTCTTGGAATTTTTCACAAACAGATATCTCATTTTTAATAATGATAATCTATCCTTTAAAAAAATTGCATCTTTACCCTTTTGAATCAATGTTGGTGAAAATCCCAAAGTTTCATTCGTTGTCAAATCCACATCTCCACTTTGTTGTTGTTTTAATTTTTCTAAATATGTAACCACTTGTTGTAATTTTCTTCCTCCAACTTGTCTTTTCAAATCATGATAGACTTCATCACATTGTTTCATTTCTTCACGTAATAAATTCACGGCATTTTCTTTTGAGATTTGCCATTCACGATCTTCAAGTTCGATTTCATATTTATATGGTTTAATACAATTTTCAACTTGATCAGCCGTAGAATAATATTTCGCTCCCAATACTGTCTTTGCCGCTTCTCTGACTTGAGATTTCGCCATGGGGTGATTTCTCAATTGGGTATTATCAACAAGGTTTTCCACTTCGGTTAATAATGCATTTGTGACTAAATTAGTTGACATTCTCCCGACTCCGATTTTCGTTAATGAACCAGTAGTTAAATCCAATTTCTTATGCCAATAAATATCATCATCAATATTAGTAATCTGGGATAATTCATATAAATCAGGTTCGAATTTCACTGTTTGATTTAATTCAAATGGTTTATTCCAATATCTTTCCGCCAATAAATCCAATACTTTTTGATCCAATTCATTCTTCAATAAAGCTTTTAATTCCGGACGAGAGAAGCGATGACTTAGATCTTTGGTACCCAATTTCAAAATATCAATATTGTTAGCAAGATACATTTCTGGAGTTAATGGACGATCATTGAATTCAACTTTGAATTGATATGAAGTTTCTTCTAATTCTTGTTGAATTGCTAAATGAGTTGGTCTTAATGATGCTGCCATTGTTTTTTCCAATACTTTCATTAATTTTTTCTTTAAATTCCTAGTACCGGCAGTACAACCAAAGAATTCCTCTTTATGTTCTTTCAAATAAGAATGTTCAAAATTTTGTTGGGCCACGAATGCTTGATATCCAGTCAATTGTTTTCTGGAAAATAATCCGCCGGGACCTGATTTAATTGCATTAGGTGCTTTTGTAATAACACCAACATATCCTAATTTCAAAGGGTATTTTCTATTGGTTAAGATTTTTCTTGCTTGTTCAGGATTAACCAAATCCAATTTGGTAACTACTCCAATTGTTCTTTCCCCTCTAGGATCAGCAGTTCTTGAAGCTCTTAAAGCGGCAGAATTGGCTAAATCTACATCAGCTGCAGAAATTGCTAATATAACATTTGGTGCTTCTAAATATCGATCACATAAGTCTCGGATTTTACGTTTTAATTCCGCTGGTTGATCAGCGGCTTCAACTTGAATATAACCAGGTAAATCGACCAATGATAAATCCGGGACAGTAGGTGATTTGATTGTGACTTGAATTGGATCATTTGAAATACATTCAGATGCGGGGACTGCCATATTTAAATCAAAAAGAATTTTTTGAACTTGTTCAAAATCAGTTAAATTAAACATTTTTAAAGCTGGGAAATCAGCAACATTAGCAGCAGCTTCTGGAGTATTTACTAATGTTAATTCAATTGGTCTTCTAGTCACCATATTAGAACCTTTAGGTAAGAATTCTTGACCCACAATACTTTCCAAAACTGATGATTTACCGCTTGATTGAGATCCAATCACAACAATTGAAGGTAAACTTATACCTTCATGATCTATATTGGATAATAAATTTCTGATTTCAATCATTTGACGTGTTAAATTTAACATATGATCATGAGTTTCATCATTAGCGAAATCTATTTCATCCTCGTCATCTTCTTCAATTAAAGTCTCTACATCATCGTCATCAAGATCTTGTTCTATTTCTGCATCTGACATTTCTTCATCTTCAGAAGATAATCCCACGGCAGCCACTGTGGCTAATGTAGTAGTAGTTTCATTGCCACCCTGGTGTCCGCCACTACCCCCATTACTACTACTACCACCACTACCTTCAGATCCAGTACCCAATCCCATATTCTTAAAGAAATCACCAGTTTTATCGAATATTCCATCAGTAAAGTCCTTTATAGCTGATAATTTATCTTGAGTATAAGTAGATGCCTGTTCTACTTTATATGCGACATAAGTACCACCAGCAGCCATTGTCCCACCTATATAAGCAGGTGCTTTAGTTGCACGTGCTATTATCTTAATAAAACTAATATTCCTTTTGGGTATAACAATTCCTGATGATTTGATTAAGGATGTTGTTGATACCATTGTTGATGATGTTAATGGTTGTTGTTTTAATATAGAAAAGTTACATATTTGATGTATGAACTGTGAAGGTTTCTGATGTGTTATTAGTACACGCGATTTATTTATTATATTGTTTGAATACATTAGATAGTCTATTGGATTGATTGGGATACTTCCTGCTTCTGCTGTATTCTTCTATTGAAGGCAAATGATATTCTAATTGGTTGTAAAAAAAAAAAACCAAATCAGACAATTAAATTTATTTTTTCTTCCTTCGTGTAAAATTGTAATGAAAATTATTTATAAGGAGAGAATATAAATTATTATGTAAGTTGGGATGTTTAGTCATTCTTTTAATAAGCGATATTGGAATAATTATAAGGAAGTAATTTAAATGGTTCAATATTCAATTAAAAATGATAGTTTTGTTATTATTGATAGGTAACTAATATGCAAAAAAGTTGCCTCCTGCCAGAATTGAACTAGCGACCTTTGCATTACAAGTGCAACGCTCTACCACTAAGCTAAGGAGGCTTGATTTTTTTCAAAAAAAAATTTAGCGGCCGTTTTATAATGAATTTTGGTCAGAACGAAAAAGCCGTTTCTAGAGAGTTTCTTAGAGTTTTATGGATGTCTATATCTTTCTCGATGGCACATTATGTGATTAAACTTGTTTTGGAAGTTCTCTTATACGTTAATTGTGTGGAATTTTATGGGTTTTTATTATCTGAAGATTTTGGTAAAAATCTCA